CATGCGAAACATTTCACAGGGCCAACAATGGACCCTAAGAACTTCCAAGACCTCGGCTGCATTCCTATAGTTGGGTCTTCCTCTCAAACAAAGGTTTTCGCGGAATGCTTTCAGGTATGCCTGCCATCACCATGCTCCTTTGCCTTCTTTCCGCTTCAGCATCCGGCGGAATCTTGGTCCTCAACGCTATCAACATCCTTTCGATGTGAGGATCCGTGTTCTTTTCCATAATTGAGCTTATCAGCTCATTCGCTGAGAGCTCATAGAAATCCTCTCCGACTTCCCCACTAGCAGTAGCCTTGTTCTTTACCGATCGAGTAGAACCACTGCCAGGAGCTCTCTTGTTGATGCGTGAACTGAGATGACCTAATCGATCGAACTGCCATGAGCTATTCGGTCAATAGGATGTGAAGGAATAGAAAAGTACGAATGGAGGAATAGATAGCGATAGAAGAAGATGAAGATGTGCTGATGAACAACGCTTTCAGAAGAACTTACCTTCTGAGGTAGAAGGAGTTTGCTGGTCGAAGACGGTGGATACAAAACCTCGAAATCGGGACCGAAGGGAGCGACAGCAAATGCGACCGCTCACCGAGACCGCACAGGCGAGAATGAATATATAAAAATGAATATATAAAAAATATATCAGATAAAGAATGAATAGAAAGTATTATTTTCTGCTAATAATAGCAAACTAATGCAAAACTAAGACTTATCGCCTTCCTCAAAAAATAAGCAGAAAATGAGAAAAATGAATAAGAAAGAAGAAAAACTACGTAGATACGTAGGAGATGAGGGCTGGTGCCGGCGGTGGGAATTTGCAAAAGATTTGGCCTCGATGAAGTCGTTTGAAACTCTGCTGTGTGGTGCTCATGTAAACCTACCATAACTCCTCAAAACGGCTTCCAGTCCCTTTGATTTTCAACGGAGAAAAATGGAAAAATTCGAAAACCCCGTTTGAAAAACTGAACGAAATTATAAAGACACCCGGCTTTTCAAACATTATCAAATTCCTTAACTCTTAATTTTTGTAGAGTTACGTGAAAAACGCAGACCCGAAAATCCCGAAATATTACGAAAATCAAAATTGCTCTCGATTAACACGATTCTTGCCCAGATAGAAAGAGAAGGTCACACCAATGTTCCTGACTTTCCCGTCTTTTCTGTGACGTTTTGAGGCTTTTTTGAGCATGGTCAAAATTGCAAAACTGAAGAATCCTCTTTATTTGCCCCTGAATCACTCTCGATATTTTTCGTTTTAATTCACGGGAAAGGTACTATAGCAAAGAGCATAAATTCCTGTATAGAAGAAAAATACTTCTAGGATTTTTCGTAATGTTTGAAAAATGCCGACCTTATCATTTCCATCAGTTGCTTCTGCTCTCGAGCTTTCTAATGCCAAACTATGGCAAAGGAACTGCTGTAAAGAGAAAGGTGTTCTGCCCAAACCACTTGGAATGAAGATGGACAAACGCTATAGCACTATCCAATGCAGAATTTCTTTCTTTTTTTAATGGTTATTTTTTTGTTCAGATTCCCATAATGTCCGTTCAGTAATTGGCAGAGATCTCTAAAACATGATTTTCACCCATCTTCAGTTTGGCTATTTTTTAAAATTCCATTTTCAACTTTTGGACTAGCTTTGATAACTGTTGGATAGAACAAATAAAATGCAGTGCAATAGACTATTTTGGCTTCATCATCTTTGCATATTTCTAAAAATAATTTTTCCAAAAGGCCTTAGTTTGGTGAAGTCGCGAAATACACACTCGCTTCAAATACTGACAAATCTTCAGATTCAAAAGCTTCCAAAAACAGATCATGACTTAGCACTAATCTTAGTAAGCAACTGAGTGTTTAGCGGTTCGAAATAGTAAATTCCGAATTTTCTGAGTACAGCCTGGGACGCGACTGAAAGCAGAAATTATAATGATTTTATCCTCAAATTTTGTACAAATGAGAAAGAAAAGAAGTCTAACAGAAAGAGAGAAAACTCATTGAATGACACTTTGGTTGTTAGTTGTTTATTGTTCTATGAGGGTTAAGATTTTCAAAGATGGAATGCATTAGAAAAATATTTTTAGAATTTTTGAGAAGCCAGCTAGAGATGCCAGAAGAATGTATCGTATTGTATTTTGATTATTCTATCCAACTGTTATCAAAGCTAATTCAAAAATTGAAAATGGAAGTTTTAAAAATAGCCAAACTAAAGATGGGTGAAAATCATGGGTTGGAGACCACTGTCAATTACTGGGCGGACATTGAGGAAATCTAAACAAGTACATAACCATTGAAAGAAGGAAGATATTCTGCATCGGTTAATGCTTACAGCGTTTGTCTACCTTCATTCTAAGTGGTTTGAGCCTGGGTCTGAAAAACAGCGCGAGCTTTCGGACCACCTAATATTAGGTTGAACAAAAAGTTTTGCAACTGGTTTCATAATTTCACTCTCACTCAACATGGCGCTCTCAAACTTTGGCATTATGTAGAGTACAATGTGAGCTACAAGTGAGCACAAATTGTCTAAATTTTGAACACGAAATAGAAAAGCTTCAGGCATTTTTTGAAAACTAGTGAAATTTGAGAATTTTTAGGGTTTCAAGCTAAAATGAAGCCTTTAGCAGCCCAGACCATGCGCAGTAATTCGGATTCGTCTACTATTGCTGGAGGTTGACTTCTTTGGACTAGTAAGAAAGAAGTAAAATTCAGGGGCATGTGAGATTTGGCGTCCTCACAAAGTCGAACGAGTCGATGTACGCAAGAGCTGCTAGGGATGACCGTCAATGACTAAAGAGTCCGAAGCTAAAATTCCGCCGAGACTTCACAAAGTAAGGTTATTTGACCTGCCGAACGCGGATATCATATTCATTTGTTGAATCAACGCCTTTTTCCTTGTTTAGGGTAAGTCCCCATAACGTACACCTACAGTACTCCTACAAAAAGCCCTTATCACGCAATTTCACTATCGTTTTCGTGATCAGCATGTCGGATAACACCCCGCCAAGTTCCAGCCAAATCCGTCAAACTTTAAATTTTTCCCCTTCATACCATAAACCTACCGTAAAACTCACTGCGACGTCAGAATTTGGTAGGACAGCAGCTGCGCTTGTAGCTTACGTAATAATCAGCACAATGGCAAAATTTGAGTGCGCCATGTTGAGTAAGAGGGAAGTTATGAAACCAGTTGCAAAACTTGGTGTTCAACCTAATATATAGGGTGTCCCAGAAAATGTGCCTAATATTTGACTATTGATAATTCACTTGTAATAGAGTCTTTCAAGAAGCTTCGAGTACCGCTTTGAGAGATGGTTTTCAATTTAGATTCACAGTATATAATGGGTCAATGCTCTACATTACTGTAGGATTACGGTAGAAACTCTAAATATATGGTGACATTGTGAGAAAGGCTGTAATTTAAAGGATTTCAAAAAAAGTGAAAAATTACGTAATAGGGTTTCCGTGGACGCTGACTTCAATACTCTACTATGTACAAGATCATGAAGCTTTCTAGACGGTGTAACCGCACTTTTCAGGAACATTGAAAACACGGCCGATACTACCTACTTCGCATAACTTTTTAATGAAGCATACTGATAAGTTGTTTATTCCATATTTGGAATCAACAACTGTAATTAACCCAGTGTGAAGGTTTTCAGGTTGTTTTGTGATTCTTCTGGGGCAAAATATGGCCTTTTATGGCTCAAAACCCTCTTCAAAGTTCCTTAATCCTCCAGTAATGGAGAACATTCGGTAGTACGCTGCATAATGTAAATTTAAGTTGAAGCCAGCTCTAAAAAACGGCACCTAAAGCTTTTTCCAAGACTTCATACCAAGAGAGTTAATCAACAATCAAACATTTTTTTGAGACACGCTGTATATATATTTTTTGGAGATAAGAAGACTCAATACGCTTTGTACACATTGTCTAAACTGGCTTGCCCGTGTGACTGACAGCTTTATACTGAGATGTCTTATTCAAGACCATTTTCTTTTTGAACGGTTAGAACAAGTTCAAACTTACAGAAGAGCTGGTACATAATATACAGGGTGTCCCAAAAAAATGTTTAGAACGTTTGATCGTTAATATCTCTCTTCCCAAGAAGTCTTTTGCCTTGCTTCAGGTACCGTTTTGTAGAGCTGGCTTCAACTTAGATTTCCATTATAGAACGAATCACCCATCTCTCTTCATTACTGTAGGGTTACGGTAGAAACTTCAAAGAGGGTTTTGAACCATGAAAGGCCATATTTTGCCTCAGAAAGGAAACAAAACAGCCTGAAAACTTTTACACCAGGCTAATTAGAATTGCTGATTATAACTGTAAAGTTCCCAACTTATTATGATGCTTCATTGACGAGTTATGCCAGGTGAGAGGTAGCGGCCTTTTTTTCAATGTTCCTAAAAAGTGCGATTACACCGTTTAGAAAGCTTCGTAATTTTGTGAATAGTTGAGTATTGAACTCAGCGTCTATGAAAACCCTATTACACAAGTTTTCACAATTTTTTGAAAAATTTTGAAACGGCAGCTTTTTCCACATTGACACCATATGTTTCAAGTTTCTACCGTGACCCTACAGTAATGAAGAGAGATGGGTGATTCGTTCTATAATGGAAATCTAAGTTGAAGCCAGCTCTACAAAATGGTACCTGAAGCAAGGCAAAAGACTTCTTGGGAAGAGAGATATTAACGATCAAACGTTCTAAACATTTTTTTTTGGGACACCCTGTATTCCCTTCCCACAAAAACGACAAAGTTGCCCATGTGTCAGCCATGCGGAGCTGTATAGATTTGCTTGTATCTCATTAAATAGTGGAAACTCTTTTCAGTGTAGTTGTGCATTCCGATAGAAGTCAGTTCTTGGGATTAGCCTCCGTAAATATTTGATTTGCCGTTGACAATGTGGTGTATCGCAAGAGCGACACACAGATAAACAGAGAAATTCTATCTACCTACCAGCGGTGAATCGATCAAGTGCCAGTCTGAAGTGTCACAGCGTCAACACACAACACTTATGATGACACTATTCGAATCATGGAATTGCTAAGCAATTTCTTGTTTCTCGTACGTGTATTCGAGAGTGAACGTGTTTTGAACATTACTTGCTTGCTTCTAGAGCGTTGTAGACCATCCAGATTAGTTACGATCTAAATGCCAACTCCGCCCAGAGGAGAGTTTGGCATGGAATGTTTGAATGTTTGTTAACTGCAGTCGCATATAAATAGATGTGATACCGTTTGCTGAGCGCCCGAACTTTGTTCACGTTCAAATTTCAACCTAGAGATGCTACGAACGTAAGTTCCATTATTTTCAAAACGGGGCAGGATCTCTCTGATTTTTGTTGTGTACCATATATAGTATGTATTTCTCACATGGGAAGGATGTTTAGTCAGAGCCGCCTTTTGAGATGAGATGCATACTATCTTAGATGGCATAAAACCCTGATTCCAAATCTGCCTTACTTATCTGCGTTGTTGGACAAGGAGTTATGAGCGTTTGATAGAGCAAAAAATTGAATACCCCACCTAAAATCGCCATCGTATTTATAACCTTGAGTAATTTTATCCTAATTGCTCCCTCATAACTCTTCGCTCGGAATCGCTCGCAATAAGGAAGGCAGATTTGGAACTGCGCTCCAAGCACTCCAGAATGGTATGCATCTTCAAAAGGTTACTTCGTCTAAACATCTATCCCTTGTCAAAAGCTTTGACAGGAAAATGTTGAAGATATGTATTTTTAGAGTCGTCTTCATCATTCCAATCGCTGTTGCCCAGTATGCTAACTCGCAAACTAGTATGTCCCTTTCAGATACGGTTATTTCTCCATTACTCCCGATAGTTTCAGAACAGATCCTAACATTTCTAGCTTGGATATAGAAAGGAGCATAGAACTACAGTGAATGAATACAGAATACGAAAAAAAAAACACAATCTGCGAATAATGCTTTTGACTGCTTCTAGTGAAGTCTGTCTCAATTTTTATGTCCCCATTGGACTGGGCAGCCGCTCACGAGTGGCTTACGCGTTCGCGGGCGCTTGGCTTGGACACCAATCAGCCTCACTGGTTGCACAAGATCCTCGCGCTGCGGATGCGTAGCCGCATATGAAACGACACTGCTATTGAAACAGATTTTATATCACTGTCACCTTCAAAGACTTAAGCAATCAAGTTGTGACACAAAAAATGATATTGCATCGAAACCTGTGATGAAATGCCATCCTCGTACACTAACTTCCTATCCCTTCAGACTCTAACAACGAGCCAGGATATTTACCCGACTACCAGGGTGATAGTTATACGAATCAAGGACGAATCGCCGAGACACAAGCGCTAAACAGACCATTTTTCGATACGCTCGGCTATGTACCTCCAGCTCCACCTCAGACTCCAGCAATGGGAGGTTCCGGCACAGCTGGTTCTTACGGTACACAGTTTTCATCCATGCCCAATTCTCAATCATAATTTCAACGACTTACGAAAGTTACCTTGGGTAACGTACTTTCCAGTAATGAGTTGATATACATATTGTACTGCAAATAAAAGCATGTAATATTCCAGTCTAGCTCGCCTTCAACAAATGTGATTCAGTATTCTCGCTTTTGAGAACATTTTTGAACCTTAGAAGAATAATTTGAGCAGCTTGTCGTTATTGCTAATTCAAAACAAAGCAGCTATCCATGCATTTTCATGATTATCGAGTTGCATCCATTTTGAAGGCTTCCCAGCTTTTTCGCTTGAACAACTATCACAACATATTTCAGTTCACTTAGATTTGCGCTTTGAGATGAGACACATATATTTGAAATCAGCTTCGAACGCTGATTCCAGTGCTGTATTAGCTTCGGGGCATTATTCTGAAGCGAGTCATGACCTTTCTGCAGGAAATCGGCATACTATTTAACATGGGAAAGCTGCCTGTAGATGGAAATCTGCCTCAAAATAGAGCTGGGATACCAAAGTAATATCATATTGAAACTTTTTTCATTGACGAGACTTAACGCAATAGATCAGCATTTAGATGTTGATACCGTAATGTCAATAGAAAGATTATGCATATTTTGCACACAAGAAATTAATAACTCGCTTCAGAATGATGTGCCGCAGCTAGGAACAGCATATTTGGAATCAGACAGAGTTCGAAGCTAATCTCAAATATATGTGAAACGCAAAACGCAAATCTAAGTTACCTGACTTTCCTTGTTAATTCCTAACGACTCGAGCACAATCATACGATAAGTAACAAACTTGTCACTTCGCACTGTCCTTACAGTTTACCCATCCCACTCGCTCCCCTCCCCGCCTTACATTTTGCACACGTGCGCATCTCACACATAATGCGAACTCGACTACGGCATCAGCTTTGTTTGCTGAGATATCGGTTGATGCGGTTGTAGAGGAGGAGAAGATTATTCAATAAGATGACTCTTGCTTATTGTACACAACAACCGCCAAAGGCTGCCATATGGCATCACTCTCCACGGTAAAAGGATCAACGTAACGGTCAAGTCAATTGTGGGATTTAATGATCATAGTACTGACTTATAGTCTCAGTTTGGAAATGGCATACGGTACTTCACTCATAAAGTAACCTAAATGTGCTGAAAATTAAGTGCGTGTCCTCAGCGGATACGGTATTTTCCCACCTTGAGGCGTGGGAAATACATATACTTAGGTGACAATGGCTGATGAGCTTGGGAAGTTGCCCCAAAACAAGTTCGCGAACGCGTCGAGTGGCCTAAGCGAGGCGGCTCGCGAGGACCCGCGCCGCGCCGACCGTGACACTCTGATTGAAAGCCCCGTAGCTGCAAGTGCGCTCGGCTCAGTGTGACTACATTACTTGCTATGCACACATACAGAGTACTCGAATCGTTTCCACATGCATATGATAGCTTCAAGATACTTGAAATGACTGAATTGAGCAAGACGTAATACCGTTTGTTTTGTGTTTACGCTCTTTGACATTTGATTGACGTTTGAGTGGGTGTGCCCGCAGTAGAATTCAGAGTCAAGATTTCATAAAGGACCTATAGGAGACATGGTCTTGGTCAGGGCCCGGCACGAGGTCGGCAAATGACAAGCTGGAAATCGTTTTGGGGCCAAAAAGCAAAGGGGAAATCGTTTTTGCGGGGTCCGGGGCGGAGCCCCGGAAAAAAATTGGTAGTTCATGCTCGCTACTTATCTTGACATGTTATGTGCCTCAACAGGCGAACACTGGAGTTCGCGCGCGTCAAACCGCGCCGTCGCTAAGTGCCGCACGCGCGACGTCATCCAAGCGATGCTATTTGTAACTGCATACATGACTAGTTCTCAATGTGTGTGTAACGATATGGCACCAAATTTTGTGTGCGAACGGACAGAGGCTAGTGGAAACATGGTATAAAAAATTATGAAAAACTTATGTGAACAGAACGAGTAATTAGCATTTTTTCCGAGAATTTCGCAAAACTGGTAAATGAAAATGTGAATTTAAACGGCTCGTTTGGAAAGCGCAGATGAACGATATGGTATGAAACTTGGTAGGTACATGCGCACGGGCTTGCAGGGCTTAACTGAGGAGTTTCATTGAGAAATTATGTGACTGAAGGTTGTGGCAAACTTTTTTCTGGAAATTTTGCGCTACCAAAGAAATGGAAAAATGGCTCGTTTGTAACGCAGAGGTAACGAAATCGCGCGGGCTTCGGTGTGTATATGCGCAATAGGACTAAGTAATAAAGTATGAAATATTATGAAAAACTTATGTGAATGAAGAGTTTCCTTAACTTATTTCCAAATTAGGTCGGCATTTGCCGACCTAATTCCCACCTGAGGTCGGCAAAACTTTCAATTCACATAATTTTCTCAAAATTTTTACATAAATCTGTTGTACACCCAAAGTTTACTACATGGTGTAATTTTGGTTCCGAAACTCCTCCTCTTGTCCTTATTAGAGCCCAAAATGGCATCAGCAGCCCAGCTTTCTAAGATAGAAAGCGCGCCCCAGTCAATCGATACGCGCGGGAACGGCGTCTCTCATTCCTATGACTGCGTTTCTTTGATATTTTCTCATTCCTTAATCATTTTTCTTGCTTATTTTTTTCCTGTTTCCTATCTTGGTACAGCAATTTGAGTAATATGAGGAATTTGAGCAATTTGGGCGCTTTTGAGCGCTTTTAGGCGAAGTGTGGCCGGTAATCTCGTCGCACAAGCACAAAACGTCATTTTTGGGCTCAAGGGAGTATTCGTAAAACTTACTGGGATCAAAGGGGTATTCGTTTTGGAAAACCCCGTTTGCCCACCTCGTGCCGGGCCCTGGTCTTGGTTCTCGGGCAGGGTTTACGCGAATTCATCGTCGCGACTGATCGATTGACAAAACAACTGTAACAATGTCATGGCATGTCGATGTTTTTGCATTTTGGTTGTGGTAGTTTTCCAACACGACTAATCGTGAAACTATCACAACCAAAATACAAGAAGATCGTCATGCAATAAACTCAAAACATTTGTCTTGTAGCGATGAATCGCGACGATGAAATCTCGTGAACTCTCTCTGAGGAACTCAACAGGAAAATTGTTTTGGGAGCATAGCCTCCTCATTCCAGCAGACACTTGAAAGCTTTTGCAATGAACAGGAGCAGATAGCGATAAGGTCAGCTCCACTTTGCACATACACGAGAGCCGAGAGGTCGACAGTGGCGATTTGCTCTCCCGCAACCACCTTGCTTCACTATAAAGTCGAAATTACCCCAGTTGCAAGTGGACTGAGTAACTCCATGAGGTGTGCAATCAGATGAAAGCAACAGGGTCCAAAGTAGCAAACACGTCCGTCACCCGTAGGGTTGGGCCAGACTGAGCGGCGTACGGGCGTATGCGATGACGCGGCGACGCCGCATATATTGAGCACTAGCTGGCAAACCCGGCTCCGCCCGGCTCTGTCATTAATATATTCGTAATCAGCATGCTCACCCCTGTGCCAACTCCCAGCCCCGTAGCTCAAACTTTTTAAAAAATCAATAAAATCGGTATCGATCAATGACGAAAAGTAGCCTGTGACACCCGCCCGGCCCCGAAGTGTATGTGTGCAAAGTTTGATCCGGATCGGTTCAGAAATGGAATTTCTATTCGGAACGTACACACAGACAGACAGACACAAACAGACATTCAGCTTTATATACAAGACTAGTTGGCAAACCCGGCTCCCGCCCGGGCCCGCCAATAATATATTTGTAATCAGCATGCTCGATTACCCTCCCCCCCCCTGTGCCAACTCCCAGCCCTGTAGCTCAAATTATGCAAAAAATCGATAAAATCGATATCGATAGGTACGAAAAGTAGCCTATGACACGCTCCCCGCCCCGAAGTGTATGTGTGCCAAGTTTGGTCCCGATCGGTTCAGAAATGGAATTTTGTATTCGGAACATACGTACATACAGACATACACACAAACAGACATTCAGCTTTATATATAAGACTAGCGACCCTACGGGTCGCTAGCAAGCGGGTTGGGGCAGACCCGTAGATAAATGCTGTTTCAAACCTATAATTTTCTCAAGTGAATTTCCAAACTATCAGTATATGTATTGCCACAACCGCTCAAAAGTAGCATTTACGGAGATTTTCTCAGAATTTGGGCGGAAAGAGGATCATATCGCTCTAAAATATTGTTTTGCGCCCTCACCATTGTACAACTTCCTTTCGCAATGTCACTCTCGCACTCACGCTTACATTTTGGCGAGAAAAATCGAATCCACCCAAAGCAAAAGCTCCCAAAAGCGAGATTTTCGGGGATTTTCTCAAAATTTGTGCGGAAAGTAGATCACATCACTCCAAAATATTGTTTTGCCCAATCACCGTTGTACAACTTCCTCTCGCAAGGTCACTCTCGCACTCACGCTTACATTATGAGAGAAAAATCGAATCCACCCAGAGCAAAAGCTTCCAAAAGAGAGATTTTCACAGACTTTCTCAAAATTTTACAGAAAAGTGGAAAATAGTTCCAAAAATAACTCAGCTGACACGAATGGAACGAGGAAGACGAACGAGAGCATAATGAATACGAGAATACTAATAATAATTAAAGAATACTGATAAAAATATAATACGGAATGGGATGTGAGCGGATCTATAAATGGTATATGATTCTATCTATAACTAACATTGAGTCGCTATCTCACATATTTCAGCACACTTCGCACGCATTTGCGTATTTCAACATAACTACGCAGCAGCAGAGCGTACCCTGCGTGTCGTGGTCTCTCTCGTTCGCGCTTGGACCTCTGCGCCCTCTTGACCTCATGATCGCACTGTCGCGTCTCTACACCATAAGGCCGCGTTCGGCAACTGGCGTCTATTCAAAACAAACGTTGAAGCATACATGTGGGCGGACCAACCTCGCCGTCTCGTTTTTTGGGATCGGGTTTATATTATAGGAGCATTATAGGAGAAGATGTGGGCGTGCGCCAAGCACTCTGGCCCCAACCCGTAGGAGTCATAGGCGCAGACAGGGCTCAGCACAGCTGGCACCGGGTCAAGCTGGATATCGTTTTTAGGGCGGAAAGCAAAGGGGATGTCGTTTCTACAGGGGCCGAGGCGGAGAACTGCCGCAAAAATGCCGCCGGCATGCCACCGGCATGCCATTGGCAAGCTGTCCATCAACAAACAAAGGCGTTGTTTTCAGCCAAAACGCAATAGTATGACACCAAATTTGGTGTGTGCATGCGCGTTGGTAGACCGGAACTACGGGCCAAAAATTTATGAAAACTTATGTGATTGAAAGCTGTGCCCAACTTTTTTCTGAAATAGCTGGCACCGTGCGAGCTGGGTGCCAGCTGAGCTGGCACCGACACTTTGCTCACATAAGTTTTCATACTTTTTTACATAAAATGTATCTACACTGTAAAAGATTACATACGGAGAAGAAACACTTTCATAATGTTCTCTTTTCAGTGTTTTATAGCAATTTGAAAACCACTCGGTCCGCTCCGCCGTCGAAAAATTGGCTTTTTCTGCTTCTCAAGATGTGATTCGACCACTTAAAAAGCTCAAAAAGCTGTGAAAAGTTCTTTCATGAAATCAGAAATGCATTAAAACACTACTACATTTTTTGACATAATATAAAAATGATGACTGGTTTTCAAAACAGGTCAAAAGGGACTTCGTACGAAATTTTCAATATCAAACGGGATTTCGTTTTGAAACTTCCCTGGTGCCAGCTCGTACCGAGCCCTGGGCGCAGATGTAAAACGATTTTAGCTAGAGCAGGCATTTAAAGCTTTTTTGTTCGAAGTGGTCTTTCCAAATGAGTCCTGAGTCACCGCAAAGAGCATTGAACACCGATTGCAAATTTCTTCCAACATCTGTAGAGCGCCTTTAGACGCCAAATTATGAGCGTTTGTAGAGAAAAAACTCGAATGCAGTCTAAGTGAAATCAATGGTCACGGTCTTTTTTGCACTCAAAACTTTGGACAATTCCGTTTCAACTGCGTATCCATTCTTCCAATCAAAAAAAAAATGCTCAAAACTCTGCATCCAAAGGTGCTTGGCAGACAAAGACAAACTTGCAATCACTGCTCAATACTCTTAAACTGGTGTAGGAGTTATGGACCCCTTCGACTTAAGAGACTTTCCTGGCCTTTTGAGCAACCTTAAACTTGATAATATCACAATTGAGGCATTACAAAAACATTCAAAGAAGAAGTCACAAGCCAACATACAGTTCGAAGAAATGTTGCAATTGCACAGCATATGGGCAGACAGAACTAGATTGGCGATCTCATTGCATAGAGTTGTCGTTGGGAGCTATCGTCCTTTCACCCCGTTGTAGCGGGCACGCAGCCTCAGACGCTCTCCCGCGAAGCGGTTTTGACCGCGGCGCAGGGTCGATACGGTCTGATCAGCTGTCCGTCCGTCCGCTGCCACGGGAATAGGTGAGTTTTTGATAATATTATTATCTTTTTGCTTGCAGTTTGCAACAAAAGGTTGGAAGGTAAGTCGAGAAAGTTTGTTAACTTTATATATAGTGAATTGTTCGTTGAAAAAGCTGACTATCCAATCTAAGCGTAATGTCAGCCAGTTTTTGAAATTTCCGTTCATGTAATCAAGATATCACTCACAAATAAACTTGAAGACATTCTCAACTTATCTTCCATCCTTTTGTTGCAACCTGCAAGCAAAAGAAATACAAAAATTATCCAAAACTCATCAGTTCCTGTGGCAGCGGACGGATGAACAGCTGATCAACCGTATCGACCCTGCGCCGCGGTCAAAACCGCTTCGCGGGAGAGCGTCTGAAGCTGCGTGCCCGCTACAACGGGGTGAAAGGACGATACCGCACTCATGGCAACTCAGGGCTTTGGACCGTGCGAGCGCGCCGCAATAAGGCGCCGCCGTGCGAGCGCTCAGCATGCTGGACGCATCATCGTGCGAGCGCGCAGCAGGAAAGTTGTCGTACGAGCGCGCAGCAAAAGCTATTCCGCATAAACGCGTGCAGGGACGCCGTCGCCACGTAAAACTACGGTCCATTTACGAAAAAAAGGTACGGTAGAAAGGTGAGAAATTATTATTTTTGCTTGCTTTGGTATTTTTTAACTAACAATTAGGTCTTTTCTTTGTTCTTCGTTCAACAATAATGATTGTTTGTCCAGTATCTAAGTTATTGTGGCCTTTTCTATCCTTCAAAACGCCAATGTCACCTTGTTTTGATCATTTGCTAGTTTGAAGGCAATTTCCAGTTCTTTATGTAACGACTGTCTAGCTAGAATCGATATCCAGTCTGTGTTTGATTTTATCGTCTCTGTATAGTGAGCTGACCTAATGTCATTATAGGATCTTCGCACCTCGCCTTCGCACCTCAAATCTGATGTGCGAGAATCGCCTCACACTTCGTGCGAATGACCTCTCCGCCTACCCAGCGTCTCCAAGGAATAGAGTGGGCGTTACTGCTATCATATATAAGGTTCAGTCATGTTTCTTTTCTTCAGTCAGTGTTTCTTCTTTCATTTGCTATTGTTATGTCAGGAGTCAAGGTTTACCTTCATGTTTATATTGATTTTCCTGCCTATCCCAACCGCTCTTCCCTACTGATGAGCCTCGGGAGCGGTGCTGGTCTTTTGGCCTCTCGTGACCTTTCAACTCAGTGTCTGAGATGAACTGTCATTGTGGGGCATCGAGGTCGCAGACATAGAAGCTGAGTTTAAAGGCTGCTGCATGACGAAGGCGCAATGGCGATTTTGGGTGAGCGTGCGCGAACGCGACGCGCGCGTATCCTCACCGTCGTGGACCCCGCACCTCATACGCTCTGCGGCTAGTAAAGCCGCGTTCGCCCCGAAGGTATTGCGCCTTCGTCATGCAGCAGCCTACATATGTGTTTCGGACAAGAGGCTGCTAATTTGGCAGTCGAGATTCCTCTGCACTATATTCAAGTGACGTCATCACAAACGTTCGCAAGCGCCAGCTCAAGTGCATCTTCTAGCTAAACATTAACAAGACTTGATCATTTTGAAATGGTTACACCAAGGATTTCTCGCCTTTTAACCAAGAAAAATGGTGCAGAGAAGTTTGACCATTATCCTGTAAGTTTCATCTAACAAAACGTTTCCATCATTCTAATAAGAAGTCATGTGAAATGTCGCGTGCGATGTGCAATCTATTATAGAAATTTTACCGGCCATTCACGGATTCGCCGACTTGCCTCCACTTGTCTGATGCACTCCCGTCGCTTTATCGTCTGCTTTTTCTCCCAATCATGATCGGTTTTCGATGGATGCAACAGCCCCCAATTTTGCGCATAATCGGGACAGCTTAAAAATAAGTTTATAGACGTTGGCAGTTGCCAGGCTTTTACTATTTTTCGTTTTCATTCATTTATTACATAGAGCATTCTATGCATTGATTATAAGCAAACATATGCTGCCAACACAGAAGATCAATTTGTCAGTAACAACAGCAATCAACAAGAGATTATGTTTTTCAGAGAGATTATGTTTTTCTCATGGCTAAACTATTCAACTCGAGATTCTTGCTCCTGAGTGTTCCATGGGGTAGTCGTTCATGCACGAAACCCTTAGTCCTTATTAGCAATTTCCCTATAAAATTGTTCTGTATTTTCTCGAGCATCGAATAGAACCAGTTCTGGTTGGATTGAAGACTACAGCGCCGTATTCAAGTAATGCTCTGATAAGTTTTGTAAGTCCGCATGGGAAGACATGTGCTAGTTGAATGAATTGGATACCCATTCAATGGGATTGGCACCTTGAGAATGACCAGAAAGCACGCATGCGAGAGAGACGCAGACTGCGTTGCGGGTGCCAGCTGTCGCCTTCCAACCGCCAATCTCGTCGAATCAAAGGCAAATTATGAGCCGCCTTACCTTTGGCCACTATCTTCTAGACAACGTATTCGCCTGAATCTTTTTGCAGAGGCGCAAACAATCAAAGCACTGCTACTGCATAGCACTGAAATTATACCAATGATTTTGGGTAGATGGTGCTTTTATGAGAGTCAAATCATACGACTTAGACTACTAAATTGATGTATTCGTATTATGTACTGCACATGATCTCATTTACAGGCACCAACTCTGCTGGGTATGCAAATCAACAGTACAATCCAGGTTCGTCGTACTACAACACTCCGGCTACGTCACAACAGTACTATAATCCCAACTCAAACTTGAATTCGGCCACTAAGAACTACGACCCAGTGATAAATACAAATGGCTACACTCAGCAGACACAATCAAATCAGCAATACGCAGCCGGTATCAACCCAAATGTACAGTATGGATATTACGGTACAAATCAGATGTACAATCAACAGCAACAACAGCAACAACAGCTACAGCAACAGCAGCAACAACAACAGTACTACGGTAGTCAGCAGTATGATAGCAGTAACTATCAAAGTTGGTGCTGTGGAGCCTCTTCTACCTCGTGCTGTTATCAGAGCGCCAATTCGATGCAGTACTACGATCCCAGCGTAAATGGGAACCAGTATGCAGCTGGGAATAACAATCAACAATATGCCTACAGTAGCTCAACAACCAAGTCACCGTACACCACAACCACGACGACGAAAATTACGGGAAGAGGAAGTGATTGTTATCCTTTTAGGCTTCCAATAAATTTTTTTAGATAAGAGTGGAGTGTAGATCCACATTATTTGTACCTCAATATGTTACACATGTTCGGTCTCACTAACTTACATCCATTCTTGAAAAGATAGAAGTTTTTCTCTGTTTTCTTCCCTTTTAACAGTTGCTAAAAGCAGATTACCTTTTTCTCAGCAGGTTTTCTGTTTTGTCTTTTACGCACAATTCCTTGATAAGTAATTGTAAGATGCCGCGCTTGTGCATAGACCTATACATCACATATGCTTTACTATGAAATCGCAAACACAGGTGCGATAAGGTGAAAATGATTCTTCCAGGGTGAAGGGGGTCACAGTGGTCGCAGCCACTCCAGGGTGAAAGGTGTTTCAATTGGTAAAGAAATTATAAAATGTCGACGGGGGGGGGGCGGGAGCCATGGTGTTTTTTGTCATTTTTCCTAAACAAAGTTCATAATTCATTCCTTACCATCACTGGTTATCTTTTTTTCTGAAATGTCAATCGAGGTGCTGCTGGATTAGCATACAATTGTATTTCTGACAGCACCTTGTATTTTTTCAACATTTCCTTTTCCTTTTTTACATCACCCTGCCTGTTTTTGGAAATACCATAGAAGATGTGCATGCGAGAACATTCGGGAAAGAGTTAGACAATTTTTAAACATTTACGAATTTTTTTAAAAGAAGGATTCGTAATTTCTGTAGAAAAACAGCAACGTCAGCAAGGGAAATGTTTTTAGAACCATTTTGTTTTCCGCTTTTAGAGAATATATAGTTTGCCTGGAGTCTGTTGAGAAAGTGCTTGGTGAAGTGTGGGTAGTGATTTCTGGATTTTTACGAGTTTTTAAGATGAAAAAATCCGTAACTTCTAAAGATGAACATCTTGTACGCCACGATGGTCACCATAGAAACCTTCTCATCCTCCGCTTTCAGTAAATATATACTTTGCCTGGGGTCCATCAGAAAAAGTGCCGGGAGAAGGGTGGGTGAGACTTTTATAATGGGAGTGCTCAGGTACAGGCGTTTTTACCATTGTAAAAAGACGTCTACTTGAGCACCCCATTATAAAAGTCTCACCCACCCTTCACCCGGCACTTTTTATAATCGACCCCAGGCAAAGTATAGATTTACTGAAAGCGGAGGATGAGAAGGTTTCTATGGTGACCATCGTGGCGTACAAGATGTTCATCTTCAGAAGTTACGGATTTTTTCATCTTAAAAACTCGTAAAAATCCAGAAATCACTACCCACACTTCACCAAGACTATCATGGCGTACAAGATGTTCATCTACAAAAGTTATGAATTTTTTTATGTTGAAAACTCGAAAATCTCCAAAAATCACTAGGACACCCTTCACTCAGGCACTTTTAAATGGACTCTGGGCAAAGTATATATACTGAAAGCGGAGGACGAGACGGTTCCAATGGTGAACATTATGGCGTACAAGATGTTCATCTACAAAAGTTATGAATTTTTTGTTAAAAACTCGAAAATCTCCAGAAATCATTAGGACACCCTTCACCCAGGCACTTTTTTCAATGGACTTCAGAAAAGGTATATATTTTCTGAAAGCGGAGGACGAGACCGTTTCAATGGTGAACATCATGGCATACAAGATGTTCATCTTCAAAATTTATTAATTTTTTAACGTTAAAAACTCGAAAATTCCAAAAAATCACTAGGCACACTCTTCACCGCGCTTTCTTGAATGGATCTCAGATATGCTATATACTTTCTGAAAGCGGACGATACGGTTCCAACGGTGACCACCTCGCCGTAAAAGATGTTCATTTTAAAGTTATGAATTTTTTATGTTAAAAACTCCAAAATGTCCAGAAATCACTACTCACACCCGTCACCAACATAGTTGCGATAGGGGGAGTGATGGATCTTACCCCCTTCACTTTGAGGCCAAACTCCCGATGACCCCCTTCACCTGGGCTGAGATTGGTATTGTACTCTGAGAATATGATAAAAATCGTTATGAAAAGCAGGCTAAGTACCTCAAACAACAAGTACACTCATAAATTTAATAAAGAAACGGTATTTATGTTTATTTATATTATTTATTTATCCTCGTAGCATTTTGGAGAGCAGAAAGTGAGTACACAAAATCAGTTAATTTTTGAAGCACATGAAATCCCTTATATCTCGCGGCACAGAAGACCTAGAAAAAAGTCGACGGTCTATGTCGATTCTCCATGATTTCAGCTTTCGAATGGTATACAGCATGTTAGGGCTTCTTTGCTTCCTGGCTCTAAAAATCATTTGCTCCGGTAACCGATAAAAGCCAATACATTGGTGGAGCTGGGTTGGAGCAAGCTAATAGTAAATATCTCCACCCCATTTTTGAAAACTGGTTAATTTTTTCGCCCAGCAACCTATATACCATTCGAAAGCTCAGGAAAAGGGGATTCGACCTAGACCGTCGACTTCTTTCTAGCCCCCCTCTACCGAGAGATACGCCGCATTTTATTTGAAAACATGGTCATTTTCAACAGCAGATTTCTGCCAAATGAAGACCTAATCACTGCTGATTATCTACCTTTTTTAAAAAGCAAGTCTTCATTAACAAACGTAGACCGTCGATTTTCTCGTAGCGTTCATTTGGAGAGCAGAAAGTGAGGACACAAAATCAGTTAATTTTTGAAGCACACGAAATCCCTCATATCTCGCGGCACAGAAGAGAAAAAAGTCGACGGTCTACTTCGACTCTCCATGATCTCAGCTTTCGAATGGTATACAGCATGTTAGGGCTACTTTGCTTCCCGGCTCTAAAAGTCATTTGCTTCGGTGACCCATAAAAGCAACACATTGTATAGGTCGTCCCGAAAGTTTTTGCGCACGATTTTCAAAAATTCATAACTCCTGATTTTTTTAACCGATTTGACTGCTTTCACTTTTATGTGAAAGGGTAAGTCATGCTCTTTATAATGACATCCCAGCTGCTTAGTAATGGTCATCTGTTGCATAGATAGAAGCTCAAAACAAAATCACTCAAAATTTGAATTTTTGTGTAAGGTCATAAAAAATCAGAAACTTGCAACAAAATCGGATCAGTCGAAATTGTAGGTTCTTTCACCAGCTCTTTCTAACAGTGCAAAGTTTGCTCCGATTGAGCGTCTCCATGAAAAGTTATAATTTCCGAGCAAGCAGTACAAAAAGGCGAATTTGATTTATTTTGGCATTTTTCAGGGAAATCATAACTTTTCATGGAGACGCTCAATCGGCGCAAACTTTGCACTGTTAGAAAGAGTTGGTGAAAGAACCTACAGTACTGACTTCTCCGATTTTTGTTGCAAGTCTCCGATTTTTTATGAAACTACACAGAAAATTGAAATTTTTACCATTTTTCTTCTACCGCTCCTATCTATGCAACAGATGACCATTACTAAGCAGCTGGGACGTCATTATAAAGAGCATGACTTACCCTCTCACATAAAAGTGAAAGCAGTCAAATCGGTTGGAAAAATCAGAAGTTATGAATATTGAAATTCATGTGCAAAAACTTTCTGGACGACCTAATAAGAGCGAGGTGGAGCAAGATAATAGCAAAAAATGTGCTGTGGATTGACATCATTATCAGCATTAACGAGAACGTGAGCGAACGCATCTATTTGAGCGTGCTTATCGTTATTATATGTTTATGTTTTTTTAAGTAAAAAATGCGCTTTTGATGGACAGTTGTGCCATCATTATCAGCACATACTCAAAAACAACTATGGGAGATTGGTGAATTTCCACATCTTAAAACAAAAACCCACCCATTTCTGGAATCTATACTCTGTAAACCTAATGCTGAAGAAGGTCACTTCCGTGAAAACGCTCTAGAACTCACCTAACTGTAGAGAATGGTTATTTTCAATGAATCAAAAACTTTGAGGCATTCTGAAGAACAACATGTTATTAAAATATCCTTCAATGTTTTGGAAAGGTTGGCAGTTCGAAGAAGAAGCGGCAGGCAGATTACTTTACAAAATCGCAGATGACTCGCATGTGGTCCAGTTCAACATCGAGGCAGAAGGAGAATCTTACGCCGACGAATATGTTGTCGACATTGATACAGAGTTGACCTTTGAGCGAAACCCTCTATTTCGTACATCAGAAATCCAAGCAGATTGCCTAGTCTCAATGAGGAAATGTCCAAGAAGTCCATTGCTGATCTTCGGGTTGTGAAGATTCCAAGGCTGCTAAATTCACGAACATGGATATGAACAAAAGGAAGGTTTTAGTACAAAGCATAATTACTGCACTTAGATCCCGGCTGGAGTGCGAACCCAACTCTGTGCTTTATGCTTTTGAAAGTTATTCGCCTTGCGACAATATGACCTATGATATTGAAAAAAAACCAACGCGCAGCATGGTATGCTTCATTTTTAAAATTGTGACAACGAGTTGACTGCGGTCTTTCCGCACACAGAAGGATAATACACTTATACAAGCAGGCAACACCTCAACGTTAAGCTCAGTCACTTCCAGTTCCTGTCTACTATCATATGTAAGCAGAAAAACTATTTGATAAGATATAAAAACCAAGAATTGGGAGTGCGTGCGTCTTGCCGGCGGTCGCGTCATCGTCACGATTTTTCGAATGCCCTATACCTCCTTTTTTCGGCTATTCCGCAGATGCTGTTAAAGAAGAAGTTGAGCAGCTTTCTAATCAGCCAACAGGACGTATGCCAGAGGAGGTGAAGCCAGAGTTCGACAAGGCCCAAAAAGTATGCACTATTTCCTTCCCGCGTTGCGAAAGCGTATGAGATCTGGCTCTTTTCCCATTACTTACCGCAAAAATCTGATGGACCTACTAGCAAAGCTAGTTTCCATTTCGACTAGCACGGCAGAGGTAGAGAAAGAAATTTTCTATCTACTCTGTTATCAGAACACAACGCAGAAGTCGTACAACGATAGAGCATCTAAGCAAATACTTAAGATTTGTCAACTTTCTACTAAACACATTGTTATCTAAAAACTTCATTTAAAGGGTTGGTATAAGTGAACCAGACAGGCTGTTACCGTATGACTTTTTGAAATATCCTAAAAGATGGTATGAAGAAACTGGTCACCTACCTGCTGACTTCCTGCTGCTACCAGAGGGCCAGGAAAAAAATCACAAAAGCGCTTAAAAGAAGAAGAAAGTTTCAAATCCATTTTCGACTCAGAACGCTTTTGCACGCGATTCTACTTCTACTCCGATGACCCTTTGGAGGAAGAAGAAGATTTTTCAGGCAGCGAACTTGTTGTCTCTGACCTTAGCGATAGTGATATTGTTGATGATGATGTGCAGTAAATGAAGTTGTTCCTAACTTGTACATCTTTTGGGATAAACATTATTGCTTTCGTTTTTTGTTGATGCAGTGAAACAGGAGCACAGATCTTCATAATCAATTTTTTTTTAATTTTTTAATTTCTTTTGAAAACTTAAAAAAAATTTTTTTTCATTTTGTGCCTAATCAAGGTACAAATTAGAGCTCTTCGTACCACGCTTTTTTACCTTTTCTCTCTTCCTCCCCCCCAGACCCACATACCCCCTTCACCCTGGAAGGTCGGGAACAGCCGAGACCCCCTTCACCTGGGGAGAGCCCGGCTCCCCCTATAGCACCTATGGTCACCAAGCACTTTTTTCAACAGACTCCCCCATTCCTGTACATAAACAATTCGCGTACAAATATCTCCTTTGCTTAACCTTACCTCACTGTTGATTTTTTTTCTCGGCTTTGTGAGGGGGGTCACCTTGGTCCAGGCCCGGGGAGAAGAGGGGGTGAGAAAATTCTCACACTAATTCTAATTCTCACATTAATCACACTATCGCACCTATGATCGCAAGTATGCTGTCAGAGCAAGGTCGTAAAACTCATCACCTGCTGTCGTTTTCATTACCAATCATCTTCCATAGAAAACCACGTTGGCCCGACTAGACCCGCAGCATAATACCTTTGAACAGCCTGTTCCGCCTGAATTCGCCTTTCAGGTAGTGAAATATACTTAATCTTACGGTGTAAGTGTTCATATGGAACAGCTGACTAAAATATTCTCAAGTTTACGAGTGTTCATATAGAACACCTGACTGTGATGCGGCAATGCAAGTAGATGGTACACAGTTTCAGTGGATAAATACACTTTGATGAAGTATCTTTTGACATTAAATGAGAGTTTACACTGAGGCAATACAAACAATTCAGAGATGTCTGGTTTTTGCGATCACTCAGACTAATCCCATCGATTTCTAACAATAAGTTCGGCAAGGGATTCCTCCACAGTTCTGTGAGTATGTAGAAGATTTCCTATGTTTCCGCGTCGTCTGACAGAATGCTTGGAGCCTTTCGTTCGTTTCACCTGCAATGTCCAGAGATTAGATAAGATAATCTTCATGGTTTATATACTTGATCAGCGCAAAGAGAACTTCTTGGACACTACTGTGCCTGATTCCGAATACGAGCCCTGCACTGCTTGAAACCGTCGAATATAGACCGTCTTGCACTTTGTCGAGAAAGCTTGGGGAAGACTGATTGGATCAAGGTAATACAGTATCGGGGGTAATATCGTGAGATTATGGGGACACTCGCTGTACCCGAGCAGAAAATGAGCATTTTTGGTATGTGCGCGAGAATACAGGGCTTTGCGTTGCAAGAGAGCGGAAGAACCACTCCGTGGAGGGAGGAGCTCTTTGAAAGCGATTTTTTCTCCGAGTCATATCAGCCTCGCACTGAGTAATGGTTAGCTACAGAAGGAGCCGACAGCGTATAGTTGATTAGTTGACCGCACGGACTGGACATCGCTGGGGAGCATACGCAGCGAGTAGAACGCTTACTCCAGTACAAATTCGCCGTTGTACAAGTCGTGCTCTCGCGACAATTCAGCCGCACCGCGTGTGGTCCGCAGCGTTTGAGCAGTCCATGCGGTCAACGAATCGACAATATCTTCAATGCTGCCCAAAATAATAGGTCCTTTCTGAAAAACGAAACTCCGCAACTCGCTCGTTTGCTAACGAACTGATCTGGTATTCGGTACAGCGGTGTGTATAGAAGCCTGTCAATAACCAAACGACTTTCGCTTTCGTTTTATACAACTAAAATTCAATAATTTTGGAAAAACATTCTGAGGGCTAGCCAATAAAGGTCCATCTAAAGTTTTATCCACCATCTAGGTACCGCTTGATTTCTCCCTTCAAACGCTTTTTGCGTTATCATTGTAAGCACAAGATTAAATAGGAAGCATCTTCACTCAAGCAAAATTTATATGCTATACTCACGGATGCTCACGAAGTCGCACTTAGCTTCGTTTTATTTATCATTCATTCTATGACTAGAAGACGAGAGACCGCATTGCACACGTTGTCTAAACAAGCTTAATTGTGTACTTAGCACACTTATACTTGTCATTTATCTCGTCCAGGTTTATTCACCCTTTGAAAACAAAGATGAACAAACCCAAACATGTTAAAATAATGTCCGCAATGCGTTCATGCATCTCCTAGTCAAGGAATAGATGATAAGTCACGCTACCAATACTACTACGCAGTTGCAAAATAGCTTATCAAGTATTATTCGTTGATTTTTGGCAGTGCTTATTTGCTAGCTGGTGAATACAGCTTGATTTTGTGTTACTATGTGATTTCTGTTGATTCTGTTTGAAGAACGAATTACTGAGGTTCGCTGATCAATCTCTGCATGATGATTGCCGCAATCATACCATATGCTAGGATCTGTAGAAATCTGTGACTATGATAGACGGACATCCCTTCTCAAACATTCACTCGGAAAACCGCGATCGGTTCACGAACTTCCGCGGAACACTCCTATCATTGGAGATGCCAGATAAGGTGGGCGTGGCGAGGTGACGTCACAAAAGTCGAGGCACTGGGTTCACAGGAAATCGAGCAAATTTTCAGCGCCCGTCTCGCAGATGTGCAGAATGTGCGGGAAGTCTAGGTCCCCTATGCACGTACATCCCCGCTGGAGATGGGAGGGGATATGACAGTGGATGCGTCATATCTCGCTATCACCCTGAAAACTTGATGAAACGCTGTAAAATTGTACTGTGGATACACTACGGCGCTGCTAAAGATAATTATAGTAGTAATAAGCGAAATCTCAGGATATCGAAATCTTCGGTAATCCCTAGCTCCGAGCCAGGAATCATCGAAAAATTCACAACCTTCAGATTCCATTTCTTCTGTCGAAAATATGCTTAGCAGTGCCGTAGTATATCATCAGTACAATTTTGCAGCATTTTCATTGACTTTTCAGGAAGATAAATGACTTTGAAAATGAGAGGTGATCCCCTGGGGATCCCCTGAGGATCCCCTGGGGATCACGCAAAATGGCAAAAACCAATCTTGTATGGAAGTAACCTGGCATCCACTATGCGCAGGTATGAATGTATGAAAATAAGCAAGATAGAGAAAGAAGAAGAAAGATACGTAAAGTAGGGAGATATGACGCATCCTCTCTCACATCCCTCCCCTCCCCAGCGGGGATGTACATGCATACGGGCCTGGGAGTTCGGGCTTTCGCGGAAATTACTATGTAGGCAACTAGTCATTTAATGCAGTGGCGCGGCAAAACCGAACATCTCGAGATTTTGGTAAGAAAGGTTGTTTGCACCCCAAACATGACCACTGCCTAGAAAGCAGCCTCTAAACCCGTGCAAGCTATTCCTACACGCGCTCGGACGAGCTTGCGATTCCCCTCTCGCCGTCAGAGGAGGCACGCCGCAATGTTGTAACTATGTGGGTCCCGCAACGACTCTGCGTTTCTAACCAGTGGGAACGTTCTGGTCGTCCAGATTCAAAATAAGGGGTTTTGGAAAATGCTGGTTTTCGCCATTTTTGCGCTCTTTAAGGTGGATTTTCGGATTCTGCGCGTCGATTTACCCCAGGTAAGCGGAAAAACTTCAGGTCGAGGATTTGCCGAGCCACTGCCTTTGAAGGCAGTGTCTCACCAAAGTTGAGGTCGCGCGGATCTTCACATCTTATATATAAAGCTGAATGTCTGTTTGTCTGTCTGTCTGTCTGTACGTATGTTCCGAATAGAAAATTCCATTTCTGAACCGATCGGGACTAAACTTAGCGAAACTTAATACACTTCGGGCCCCGGCGGGTGCCATAGGCTACTTTTCGTCATTGATCGATATCGATTTTATCGATTTTTTGCAAAATTTGAGCTACGGGGCTGGGAGTTGGCACAGGGGGGGTAATCGAGCATGCTGATCACCCCCGTGGGGGATAATCGACCCCGTGGGGTGCCTGCCAACTCCCAGCCCCGTAGCACAAATTTTGCAAAAAATCGATAAAATCGACATCGATCGATAGCGAAAAGTGGACTGTGACATCCACCGGGGCCCGAAGTGTATGTGTGTCAAGTTTGGTCCGGATCGATTAAGAAATGGAATTTTCTATTTGGAACATACGGCGGAGCCGGGTAAGCCAGCTAGTATATATATATATATATATATATATATATATATATAACTCAAAAATTGTCAGTTTGGAGGGTATGTGCGTTATAGAAACTCGCGCCGCTCAACCAATTCATCTGAAACTTTGCACACTTATGTTTTCGACCCCTGCGCAGATGATAGGCTACTTTTCGCGGCGATTCAAGGGGTCCTTCTATCGATTTATTGATTTGTTTACGTTTTTCTAAGGAATTGAAAGCTTATCATGCTTAATCGAGCATTTTCCCATTTCATGTAAAGGAGGGCGGTGAAGATCATTTTTACCTCGGGATCGCGAGGATGCGGTATCGAAGCGGATGTCCCGGGGTAAGTCATCCAATATAAGAGGGGGGGGGGAGAGGGGGAGCTCGCAGTGCAGATGAAAATGGCCCGGGCTGGACCGGGAAAGCCAACTAGTTCTATTATAAAGACCTCTAAATTGGCCACTGCAACAAATCCCACTCAGTTTGACCCCCTCCACGCTAAGAAAAATTCGCTCAAAGTGGTACGCGGAGAGCGACTTGGTGCGCGCGTACGACTCCTTCGGTCTCCCCCCTTACGCGTTTGAACATGTCCCTCCACTTGGCATCCACCTCCCCTTTATTGCTGCCACTGGGACTGGGGGTGAAGTTGGAAGGTACAACTCGTCCACGTTGCTTCCGCGGGGCTTCCAGAAAACGGTTTTCGGGATTTGTGCGATTTTAAGCCCATACAGCGCTAGACAGGGTCCGACAGGCATGCAAAATGCAAAAATCTCGGCAACTATATTTTGGTGAGACACTGCCTTTAAGCTGATACGCAGCATCCGCAAATTCCTTGCGGAATCAATGCATCCTGTCTGAAGTTCAAACAAACAATGTCTTTACGTGTGCTTATAAGAACATTGCTGAGATTAGGCCTGCTGCATTGGCGATCCGGTCCGCCACTGGCCTGCTGTTATGTCGATGTCGGGTTTGCTACACGGCGAAAACAGATTTTTTCCAGCGCTCACTAAAGGTCTAAACGGTAGATGAAATTCGTTGCGTCCAAGCCAGGTGAGAAACTGTAGAATTTTCTCAAACATCTTCAGAGGTCGAAAACTTGTAAACGTCTTTTTCAAACCAGAAAAGCAGATAAGAGATTTCATTGAAGGTACTAGCTCGACGAAAGCAGTTAATTGACACTTTGGCTACGTATTCATGTTCATATAAAGAATTTATAAGCAAAAATACTCTGCCGAAGGTGTCATCCTCCAAACCAGCTTTTTTCGAAATTACTAATTTTTTCCTTGGATGATGGAACGGAAACGAGACTAGTTCTGATTACTGGCAGTACTGATGTTCACACAATTGTGCCAAACCTAGAAATTATTAGCAAACGAGCGAGTTATGATCAGAGGTGCGAAGGTGGGCACCGATTCTCCCCTACCTTCACTTTTGAGCTGGTACAGGGTGACCTTCACCTTTGGCGAGAATTCTTTCGCTGAATGATAAAAAAGGAAAATAAGTAAAACAAACGCAAAAGGGATTATTGGAAGCATATATCTATGTGTTACACTTTTAGGAACTCGCCTATCGCGAGTAGCGAAGGCCATCACCCGCCATGAATGCCTATACTCCTCGGCACTTCCCACGAATCCGGAGGATTTAGCTTCTTGACGAATTCGATTCAAAAAGCTCTTATCCAAAGGTCCTCTTTATGGCCAACATCTTTGACCCAACGGCCCTCTTAAGGGCCACAAATACGATGAGTACATCGGCATGAATATTTAAACGTGTTCGTCAAATGGTGTATTTGTAAGTAAAACTCAGCTAGACTTTACGTATTTTATTAAGTAAATTTGTTATAACGTACTGCGAAGAGCAGTAATCGCCGACAACCAAAATTTCGAATGATAAAATGACGAAAAATTATGCGAAATTTCCACTGTTATAAATCTGGCGATTGAAGATGTCAGTAACTGCGAGTTCATAGTTTGGAGGGTAAGTGCTGTTCTACCAGATATAAAAAATCAGGTCGATATGAGCAGTGGCCGCAGAGAACGAAAATTGTAAAAATTAGGCCATTTTAGGTTGCTTAGTGACAGCTGACATTTGAACCTCTGAATTCTTGAATGTGAAGATTTGTGATGTTGCGACTTCATAGGCTTTGTAGAGTAAGGTTTGCCCTACAGGAGCTTGTCTTAGCCGTACCGATCCTTCGAAAAAGGGCCGAGATCCAGGTCCCTAAAGGTAAAATGAGCGAAGAAGAAGCTTAACCCTTGAATTTGTTTTTCTTATTCTTCCTTTTTATTAGTTAGTGAAGAAGCTTGTAAAGCTTTCGAGGAAGAATTTTCTTTGAGAAAGTGACGTCGAACTGTACTCCCTCCCCTCCTTTCGAAGTTTTTGGGAGGTGAATGCCAGGCACTACTACCTTTACTTTTGCCGGCCAGTAATAGCTGGGACCACCTTCACATTTGGGGGCCCTGGCTCCACCCATCTCACCTCTGGTTACGACATTTTTGAAGTAGAAATAGATTTTGACCAGAACTTTAGAGGCATAAGCCTCCCTACTTCTGCACAGACACTGCATTCGATAATAGTAATTTCTAGCAACGATAAAGAATGGTGATGGATGGGTCTATGCTCATGTTTCATGATCTCGTTCTCTCATGTTTCACAAATCGAACATACCTTTCCAGGCATCCTCTCAGAATCGAGTTTTGCTTGTACTTCATTTCGAATCTCGGCGTGACCAGAAACTCCTTTTGAGACGAAATAATCGGCCTCCACATTCTAGAACAATGAACAATGTTTGATTGACTGCTTCATGCGGAGGTCTGGCATCACTCGTGCTGGCGCATTACTTTGGTTAGGTAAATACCAGAAAGAAGTCATATAAGTGAGAGCGCTGTGAGCATAGATAGATTGGGAGCATCCCCAAAGAAGAATACTTTCCAGAAAAAGCTATCCATGCTGAAATCTGCTATAAGTCAAAATTAGGAAATGGACTGCAAGGGGGTATGATTCGCTCACAAATACGTATTGGAGGGGCTGCGATGGCCAAACCGATGATCATTTTCAATTATGTTCCAACAGAAGAACTCCATCGCTGGTACGTTCGCACGTCCCCCTCACGTAAGTCAAGGAGTCGACAATATGATATCAACCATGCTACAGACCAGGCGCAGAGCGCAGGGAAGTAGTAGCTACTCAGACAATCACCGGGGGCAGGCGGGCGCCGGAAAATACGCGTTGCTGACTTTCATTCCGCTCCAAATTCCAGAAAAATGGTCAGCGAGTTTTTGAGGGACCGCCTGTTGAATCTTTTTCCGCTCTTATCTTTTGCAGATATATTGCTGACTTCCTGAGGAATCGAGAACCTAGCAAGCGGCGTTCCAAAAAGTCCTGATTGCTTCTCAAAAAATTCGCGAGCGTGCTGCGAGAAATCAGCCATCTATTTTTCCGGTGCGCGCCTGCCCCCAGCGATTGTCTGAGGGCGGCGATGCAGGAGGAACCAAAGGCCTTACCGCGTGTATCCAAGGGGGAAAGGGGAGGAGCTGGCTTAGGAATCTGACAACCTTCCAAGCTCCACCCTCTGCTTTGAGTCTGGGTCTTGCCTTTTTTGCTCAGGAATTCTTTGAAGGAAAAGGCTAGTTTGAAGGACCTGGGGTGGAGATACAAGGAAGGGAAAAACAAGTTTGTGACCAGTATTGAAAAATGAATCTTTTAAATGGACTTTTATATAAATTCACATCAATGCAGTTCTAGCATAGTTTGTAAGTGAATCGATGAACAATTTTTGGAGGTAAGAGAGCGGTTTGATTTCAAATTTTTCATGAACTCCAATAAGTGGATTAGCGGAAAGCTTACACTATATTGCATTTTATTTTCCTGATATAATTTTCTCACTTTTACGATAGTCAGCGCGTTAGTTGCATTGCTAATCGATAGCCGATTAGTTTACCTTTGCAGGATCAAGCCAATCGTCTGATGAGCCAAGAAAGTCATAATTCAAGTGAAAAATTTGTTCGTTGTTAACTCCAGTAAATGTTTTACTCGGGGGGGGGGGGGAGGGAAAGGGTGGCAGAAATTCACGAGAAGAACGTTGGAAAGTTGTGTTTCAAAGAGGTGAACTTGCGAAAGTATATGCCAAATTATCCATCAAAAATTTACGAGTTGCAAAATCAGACTCGGATAAAAAGCTGCAAAAAAAGCAGAAAGCAGGCAAAGTCAACAAAACTTGTCTGCTATAGAAGACATAGTAGTTGTCATTGGTTTTCCCTCATTTATACTGGATATTGCCCACTTCTCTAATCCTATGCCTCGACAACTGCCAGCCGGGTAAAGGTTGGCCAGGTTTGATCGCGTCAAATCTAAGCTGTGAAGCTTTGCTGAGCCTCCTCCAGGCACAAGATGTTTACATTTGCATTTTTCGTCCTTTTGGAGAGTATCCAATATGTAGTATTAGTTTCCTTATTGTTGAAATTACTTTGAAACTTCATTTTCGGCTTATGTTCTCCTGCTTTGGATCAACTTTCGGTAACCCACCTTCTAAGCTTTGTATCGTCGTCTCCCCGTTGTACGCTGGGCGGAGCTTTTGCGGACATTTCGACACGTTGGTAAACTTGTTAACCCTCTACTGCAAAGCACTGTTCTTTGTAATCTCTCGCTACCAACTCCGCCACGTATGACAACAACATATATCCGTGGCAGTCTAGAGAGTACAAAGAACCATGCTTTGCCGTAGAGGCTTAACAAGTCACCCACGTGTTCAGATGTCCGCAAATGCTCCGCCCAATGTACACCGGGGAAACGACGATATCATCATCACTTCGATTTGAACAAAATTCATCAATGATTCACTGCTAGCGGTGTCCCATTTGACTGTTACAAAGATGACCGTTACTCTATTCATTTATTAGTTTTATGACATGATACTACTTTTACTATCATCCTGGTACCTGAAAACCTGTTTTTGAATCTTTACTGTCCATTTCCCAAATTCCAATTCATAGTTTAACCTCTTAATCCATCAAATTTGATCAATAACTGATAGTCCATCTACCATTCTTGCTCAACATACAATGGGAGCATTCCGCGGGCGGAGCGATTTGCGGAGCCTCGTCTGCCTTCCACTTTCCCCCTTGGATAAGGCGGCAAGGGCTTTGGTTCCTCCTGCACCACCTCCTTGTCTGAGTAGATGGCGAGAGAGTTGAAGGCACCGTCCACCCAAAATTTCGACCTCAATGTTTTTGCCGTTTCGGGCCTTCTCAAACCCCTAATTCCAAATATCAAGTCGGAAATCCGCGAAAACCACGAAAAGCCCCCGTTTGTAGAACCCGCAGAGCGATTTTGGCGCTACTCCACATGAATTGACTCAAAAAATGAAAATAGTGAATTTCGCTAAAACTTCGTCTAGGGAAGTTATTTGGTACGTTGAACACGAATATGATGTTTTTTTCGTGCGACAGCGCCATCCGGTGGAGTTACGGTGGGATTACGGTAGGGAGTCAAAATCACGGATTTGCCCGAAACTTGGCCCAGAGGGGTTATTCGGCCCGCTGATGCTGGATATCACATTGGTTTTGTACCGTAGTTTTTCTCAGGTTATGGTAAGTATACGGTAAGGGACCAAATCCCAGAATTCGCTGAAGCTTGACCCAGGGAGGTTACTCGACATGCTGATTAGAAATGTCAAACTTTCTCCGCACGAAAACGTCTCCCTGCATGGTTACGGTAGGTTTACGGAGTAGTCAAAATCACAAATCGGCAAATGTATCTTTCCCCTGTGTTTTGCTTAGGCAAAAGCCGCAGCAGGGTGTGGAGCGCGCGGCAATGGTCGTGTGTGCAAAGCTTCAGGATCGTCCGAATCGCCGTACACCGATTCATGCAGAACTATGTTTTACACCCGTTACCGTGTAGCTACCGTAACCCGAAAAAATGACGCTACGGTTCAAAACCAATGTGATATTTGGTATCAGCGGGCCGAATAACCCCTCTGGGCCAAGTTTTGGGCAAATCCGTAATTTTGGCCCTTTACCGTAGTCCTACCGTAACTCCACCGGATGGCGCTGTCGCACGAAATAAACACCATATTCGTGTTCAGCATACCAAATACCCCCCCCCCCCCTAGACAAAGTTTTAGCGAAATTCACGATTTTCATTTTTTGGGTCAACTAATGTGGAATAGTACCCTCGCTTTGGAAGCAACTTTTGCCAGCACGAGTTGGATAAGTATGCAGCTGGGTGCTCCAATACTGTTAGGCATCAAAATCTCATCGACCCCATTTTGAGTGGACGGTGCCTTTGAGAAATGCTTCAAATAGAACTCTAGACTTCATCACCGCTATCGGATGACACCAAAGCTCCGTTCGCTTTATCCCTGGCAAAGTACAGTAACTGTGGGAACTCATAAATGAACTATCAATTCAATATAACTATAAACACAACTACGATTTCATTAAAAGGAAACGTGGCCGTAGCCACGTTTCGTTATCTCGATTAATTACAATACAAAAAATCACTTGCACATTTTGACAACCGCACGAGTACAGTAAGCTTATTTCCAGCTATCGTTCATCTTGCTTGCCATACACCAGGGGGCAGCCAACATGAACGATAGGTTGTGCCAGCCATACGCATTACGTAGGTCAAATATTTTCTAGATTCTATAATTACGCTATGACGATATTCAAAATTTTGGAAAAAACGCTAGGAGCCCGGTACCGCCTTATTCTTACTGCTCGACACCATTTTTAATCCAGTGAAGAACATATCGCTTAAAAAATAAGACTTTAGGCGCGGCATATTGACAACCGCACGAGTACAGTAAGCTTATTCCCAGCTATCGTTCATCTTGTCATACACCCCATTTTTACAGCTCATGCAAGTAACTTTCAAAGATTTCATAACCCAGAAGCGCCCCACCCCTCTCCCTCCTTCCTTTCTATCCGCCATTGCGCTTCGAGTATGCGGGTTCGTAAACTGCTATAGTAATACAGCCATTTCAAGAAGAATGTGCTAAGGGATATCCGTAACGGAATCATCATTGGAGTTCTCAGTATATAATGGGACTAACCGCGGTGATGTTCGGTCTACACAGAAGTTTCATCACATTCCATTCTCGGTCAAATCGCTCTCGTAATACAGCTACTTGAGCAGGTGACACAGGATAGTCTGGTCGCCCTGTCCTAAGAGTATTTCTATTGAATAGATGATTGATAATAAGAATATAATCAATAATAAAAGCATAGTGCTTAGCCTTGTAAAAGACAATAGTCCACGCCTAGTCTAGAACACCAACGCGCGGAGCGACTGCGGACGTGGGTCGCGGCGATATTGGCTATCATAGGCGATAACGAGCGCGCACCCCGTTCAGACGTATTTTTATAAACTTTTAAACACGCTTTTGACTAGAACATAATGTGCAATGCTGGAAACAACAAGGATGGTAATCGGAGAATTTCTAAGCGAATAAGAGCGCCCATAGTGCCTCGTGACAACCGCTCGCCTGCTGGTGTCAAGGCACGGCGCGGACAATGAGGTCTTACAATGCCTATACACACGCAGTCTGTCCCTTCCCGCATCAAGCCGAAAGTGGATTGGTGTGCATCCGCATCGCATCAATATGAGTGACGTCTGCGTTGTGCTCTCCCTTCAGTCTTCGCTCTTTCCGAAATTGCTCATATACAGCGCAAACCTATAGCTTTGCGGGCGCAAATTTACGCAAATAGTTGGGCCTGATCCCGATTGGAGTTCGGTCTGATCCCGATTGGGGTAGAGACCGTAAATGTACATTATGTTGGTGCTCATAATCTTACGCCTTTTTCTTCGGTAAGGGCGATCCACTGTAACCAATTTCCCAGACGCGTCGGTTCCAGTGAGGCAAATTCAGATTTCCTCGCAATACACGAGTAAGAAACATTAAACTCGGAAACCTGCAAGCGTGGATGAGTGAGGCAAAACCCAGTATTGCAGTCATTTTCAGTATGATAGCATAAAACAACAACATGGATGTGACACATAGAATCGCATATATTTATTGAAGAATGTCAATGTATTTCAATCACATGAGAACTTGCGAATGAGTCATCAATTTATTCTAAAAATTCTCTAGCATATTCTGCATGCAAAACACCATCCCGACGATATAATCAATATAAATCCCAAATAAATAAGAAGAAAAGAATGAGTACCATCCGCCGTTACTCAACCATAGATTGATAAAAAATGAAATGGTAGGATATGCAGAAATGGCTATCCTATCGCTAAATGCCACCAAGAAAACAACAATAGGAAAATAATGTCATCAAAGGAGAACAATTCTTACGTGCTATATACCATGGCAGGAGTCTAACAAATATTCAAAGAAAACAATGTTTGCTCCACATAACATTTCCTACAACTGACGCATTTTGCAAATGCTCATATTACGGCTACATTTTGAACGCATGATAGTTTTGAGCTCTACTTTCTTGTATGCTGCGCCGCACTCCAGCCCAAGAGTTTATAGTAGTTAACCTTCATAATTATCAGGTTACAATGCTATCCTGTTTAAATAAACTATAAGATCAAACCAGACTTGCCCGACAGCGGAATTCCATAACAGCTAAGGGACTCAAATAAGCGTCGCCTGCACAAGCATAGGACAAATCATGCGCCTTTACACGGCCTAGTCTGCTACTACACCTCCCCAACGAAGGCAAGTTGCGAAGAAGAAGCTACAGTTTTCTCAAAAACAAGTCAATTATTGGTTGATGTCTGCTCCGTAGCCGTTCCCTCAAATCGCGAACGCAGCTGAATTTTTGTTTTCTATCTCTGCTATGCAAACGCTAGTCATACGCTAGACTGTGGTCATTCTGGGGTATGCACAACAAATTCGCCTCCTGGTGGCCTGTCTCGAGTTTTCGTGCTATTGCTCGAATATGTGAAATCAGGAGGAGCATTCCAAAAAACTCTGAGAGCGTACACTTGCACTAAGACCATGACTATGGGTATCGTCGCCTCTCGGATTCGTGTACAGGCGGAGGTTTTGCGAGAGAGTACGAAAAGCAAAGCTATAGCTACAGGTTTAACGAGTCAATTTGCGTTATCATGAAAAGTCCACAATCCGCTTCTACACCTGGAGCCGATCATGGCTTTCTATTACACAGAACATTCACAAACATGGCGAACCCAGTAATGAAATGCCGCGACTACTTCCTTATACTCAAGGAAAGAAAACGAAAACAAGCTTGGCGGACATGATAGCTGCTACCAATCCTCTCTTTGTAAAATTCTAAAGTTAACCATTTAGCGAACAGCTTGACGTACAATTCTCAATAGAAAGTGGCTGGACACGTCTTGATCAAGTTATTTTTCGCGCCTTAAAAAATTTCTACAACCTTCTGTAGTAAAATGCCATTAACACGTTGACGATCTTGTGTATCCGCACGTATGCACGCCCTGACTCCCGTTGAGCATTTTCGTGCATCCGCGCATATGCACGCTAGTTTTTTAGGTGCAAACGAAAAGTTTTAAGGTAACTTCTATGCAGTAATACTATTAGTGGCCTGATTGTCTTACAGAACACAGGGCATCGCGGCAGCTGTTCAGAAGTTTTGGACGCAAAATTGGGTAATCAGTACGTTTTTGATGTAATCAATACATGCTAATTACGTTTTCTCGAGAAGGTGAAAACTCTGTATAGCTGTTTTGAAATCAAACAAAGATGTATCAGCAAAAAACATATGGTTTTACAACGCTTTTCTCGAAGAGCGATTCCTTAGATATAGCCATTATATGGATTATTGGAGGGAAAATCGATGCAAAAACATTGATTTGTGTAAGTCCTGGTAAGGCTCTGTGATATACCTGTATGTCTGAATAAAGTTCGCATTTTTTACTAATAAGTGACAAAAAGACTCCCACATAATGTTTTCATGCATCCGCGCGTATGCACGGGCCAAATGCGCTAAGGACGTTAGTGGGAGTTTCGCCCAAAATGGCGCGGTCGTCAACGTGTTAACATTGAAAAAAAAACCGATGGTCATCACGATTGAGTGTAAGATTAGAGAACGGTGTAGCGGAATTAACCCAGAGATGACTTAGCAATGTTCTTCCTTCAGTAAACAAAGCCTACGTACAAGAATCAACCAACATAAAATAACCTCTAACGAGGGAAGGATAGCTGGTGACCATGGCCTCTTAAAAGTTGTATATCAGAATGCTCGTCTTCGGACGCTAATTTCAAATCTGCGTTCGTTATCTGCGGGACGCTTTTCTGAGAAAAGTGGCGCTCGTGAGCGCACGCAAAAATATTTGCACCGGCCGAGATCAAATCGACGTTCCTTGTGCATCAAATCCCCAACGCTAACCGCTACACCATTCGACCTTTGGTACGTCTATATTACTCGTACTCTTGTCAAACGATTCAGATGCGAGGAGATACGATTTTTCTGAAGAATCGTTCCGCAGATAACGAACACAGTTTAAAGATTTGCGTTTCAAGGCGAATGTCATGACATATCTATGTCACATATCGAAAACTCACGGCCACCAAGTATCCTTAGCCGTAAGATGGAATGGCACTGACCTCCTTCGGTAAATCGAAAGCGAAGAGTAACTAGTGCAAGCTTTGGTCCGCTAGGCTTCTAATGATTCACATTAAAGTGCTCTAAGCTCATATAATAAAATGTCCGCTAGCGTGGCATGTAAACAGCACTACTTTCCTGGTTCTGAAATCAGATTTTCGGGGGATACGCTCATAAACTTAATGAACGCAGGAAAACCCTCGAAAATTACATTCCACGCAAACATGCGCCCTTGAATGAATCTACAAATTAAACATTCGTTACATTTGTAGCGGAAGCTGATGGTCTTCCCAATGAGACATGACGCAATATGCCGTATTGACTGAGGTCTGCGAAATTAGTAGAAGAAGATCTTTAGGGCAAAAGGAGATACAAAGAACATTGAGAAGCGAGAGCTGCCATAAAAATAAAAACAGACTGGATATTGGTCCACAAAAATAACTGATCCATACCCGAAATTGTAAAGGCGGCAATTAGCAGATCTCAATGGTTTCAGTGGTGCGGACCAGCAGAGCCTAGTCTAGCTCCAGGTTTTCGAAGCTCATTGATAAGTAGGCGTATGCCTTGCTGAGCCCATGGACCCATTTCGTCCGGAAAGTCGCTTCTCAGTCGTTCAAAAAAAGTGTGAGCATCATCGTACTTCTCTCTGTCGATGACTAAAATAGGACATACCAACTTAACAAAAAGTGAGGCAATACACAACTGTCTACACTCGGCAAAGCGAGCAAGTGATTTACTTTTTGGGTGGAGTGCAGCCGACAATGACGGTATAGGCCGTTCACGTTTCAAGCGGAATGCGACACTGTTGCCTTCAAAGGCAGTTCTTGACTGCAAGCGACAGCAGAGAAAATAGCGTTTTTAGCAGAAGAAAGAAGCTATAATTCTTTCTCTGAACAACTAAGAAGACACGAGTAGGCTTTGCGTACGTTTGAACAAATTTATGAGTGTCTAAGGCTTCCTGTGGCCGTATTCATCAACGAACCCAGTGGGTTCCGGAACTCATTGGGTAGGCTTAGCCCATGAGATCGGTATTCACGAAGCTAGTAGATTCGCAAACCCAGCAATGCTTCTTGTGAATATTGATCCAACCCAGTGGCACTGTTTTCGCTTGCTCAATGGGTCCCGGAACCCACTGGTTTCGTTGATGAAAACGGCCACTGGTTGTTTTAGTATAGATATTTTAGAAGAATATGTTCGAGCTCGTTCAGGCGAGCTCGGGCACTTCTTCCAGGGATCCCAACAGTGATTTACCAAAACGCATCAAAACGCACTCGTAAACTTGTTAATCAAAAGTAAGCATACCGTACTCGTGCTTCTTAGAGAATGAATAGTCAGAGAATGAATGATAAGCGTGTCGCAACGTGGTTCGCGCGGACGGCTTATAGAAGCGGTAATGCTATTTACCCTCGACGTCAATCCCTAAGTTACATTTGCAAAGTGAAGTGTTGCGGTGCGGCCGCCTCACTTTGGGCTCGCGCCACCTTGCGAGCGCATGAGTTGGCATGGCGTGGCAACAGGAGCAACGAAGAAACGTTGTTCTTGCTGCCACGTTTGAACATGTTGTGGCGCCACGTTGTTTTTAGCGCCACATCACGTCTAAGCGATGCCCCAGCAACGTGGCGCGAGCGCAAAGCGAGGCGGTTGCACCACACACTTCACTTTGCAAATGTAACTTAGGGATTGACGTCGAGGGTAGTTCGCTAGCTTTGCGCAAATTATTTTTTCTTTCTCGTTTTGTAATGTGTCATCCTTATTATTGTTGAATATATCATCTATGGTACGGGCCATACTTGATCCACTTGATCCACTTCGCTATTGGTCAAATCAGTAAATTGACCAATAGCAAAGAGATTTAAGAGGATCAAGTGAATCAAGTAGAGCGTGCTTATTGAAAACAACACTGCTTTGCTTCCAGGCAGACAAGAGTTAACGGGACATATAACAGTGTGTAAATAATGTATCATCGGTTTCACGATTCGTGTAGAGGCGGGGTTTTGCCAACTCAAAGCGTGGCGGTCTTTGATAGCGAGAGAGTACAAAAAACAATGCTATAATGTGGAGGTTTAACAAGTTTACCTGTGTTATCAGGCAAAGTCTACAATACACCTCTACACGAATCGTGGAGACGATCATACAATCTTCTATAATCTAAGTATATGCAAAAGAGCGAAACACTCCTAAATATTATGCTATTCCGTGTGCACATGAGAGAAAAAAATGTACGACCTAGCATCAACGCAAGTTGTACGTTAACGTTGCCACATGTGAGAAAAGATTGATTATGAAAAAAAATATGGAGTTCTACATCTTCAGCACGCTGCGGTATGCGCGGCAATTTACTGTAAAGTCAGAATGTCTACTCAAGGTGTGTACCCTCGCGTGTCTAGCGGGATCAGGCGATTACTATGCGCGCTGACAAGCACTTCACGCTGAACTTTGGTGATAACTTCAGTGAGATGATAGATTTAACTTACAATCTACGACGTAGTTGAGACTTTTGAGACACCTTTCAGAAATTCGTCCTTCATCCATAGCATCTCTCAATTCAGAAATTCGCAACTGTACGCCGCGATGAATATTCTGAATTTTTTCATAGCTCTTATGAAGCGAACTTCGCGAGTAAAGAACTCACAGGTGATAATTTTTTGCTTGCAGCCGATAAGCAAAGAATCAGTTGGACGCGACTCATTGACACATCTCCAGGTGCCTTGGGAAGCGATCTGCAATTTAGCAATTCTGAATATGCATAACACTACAAGGATTATAGCGTGCAATAATGTAAAGGCAAGTGAATCTGCACCCTTTCCAGGTTACGCATACAAGATAACTGAAACCCAAATGCATAACGATTTACCGATAGTTCACTCCCTCATGCGTAGATGGCCTTCGAGCTGAGTCCACTACGCAGTTTGGCAAAGAAGCAATGACATCGTTCGGAAGTAGTGTTGATAGTTCAGGAGAAGTCTGTCTGATAACCGGCACATGCCGTGACATTGTCGGCGACGAAGATGATGACGAATTTCTCGTGGTCGACAACGACTCCGGAGAAGCAGCTGACCATGCGACGTAGGTGGTATGCTGATTAGGATTCTACAAAGTATGTCAGTGTTTCCAAGCAAAGACACGTAAGAGCTCCTAAACTTACCGAATGAGAACGGACAAGAAACGGATCCACAGATCTGGCTTTGTTGCTATTACCTAAATTTTGTTAAAGATTATTCATAAAAGATGTAGCTCTTAAAATAAATTGCAAATTTCTTTTGGTAAGAGCAGGTGTGTTGAAACTTGTCCTCGATCCTACATGAATGATAACGGTGACTTCGATTTCCTACCTTGTGTTGAGAATCACTCTTTTGGATACTGACATTCACCACAGGAGTAAAGGAATGACTTTCGCCATAAGATGATCCCCAGTGGACTACTAGTTCTCACACGATATGCTATAGCATGTGCAAAGGACCAATAGTTTCCAGAAACGGTGTCTACTGGCGAAGAATTCAGTCCTCTACCCTCATCACTGCTCCAAGGAACGCTGAAAAGACGTAACAGTTTCTACTGCAGCCGCGCGCATTTGCAGTAACGCTTATAACATTTTGCAGACATGCATTCTACAGATAAAGAAGATAGGTATGTAATAACCCTTGCTGCACCTATCCATATGAGACAGGTCAAATGACCGCCTCCCACTAAAACTTCTTCCCTGCTGAGACAGTTTGTTTGAAAGAGACAAACACGGAAAGAAGGAGGAAATGTGTGCAGTAAAATGAACACTGGTGTGCGCAGTAGGGTCTATCGTACTTTACGGGTTTTCGACGCTGCTGCTGCAGTCAACGCGGTCTGCGGCAGTATGCAGCCCTAAGAACGGCCGAGTCACACGCGTATTATATCTTGAAGGACATCGCTGAGTTTTCACTTACAAAATGAATTCGACGGTTTTCGAAGCTGTGCTAATGCAAGGTGTTAAGATGGCATTCACATAAACATCGATTATGGGAAGAAATCAGAGCTTAGGACTTACTGGATACTGTGAACGCGTCATACACAGGACGATGTGCTTCACGTTGCATCGTCGACGGCATAGATAGTGAAGATTCAAAGAAGAAAGTTGTAATTGTGCCGTCGAGCAACGTCGGCGAAAACGAAGCTGAGGACAGACACCGATCAGTGCGCACTGGTAGTGGCAGCACTGACCACCACTTGAATCTCACAACCTGAAAGAAGATAGGTTATTCATCTGTAGAGATAGCATTGATGGATAAACGATTGAGAAGCATCTGAACAGTCGTCATGCGCCAATGTCAATATCCTAGAGGCAATGTTTAGGCAGTTCTGGGCGTGTGGGTTTCTCAAATGGAAGCTGCCTTGAAGACAGCGTCCCGGCAAAATGATGGGTATTGGGATTTCACAGCGGTGCAATGGCGGACTCCCGAACTAATCTATCACGAGAGTTTGAAACAAAAAAGCGCGTCTCGAAAGCCCAAAATCTGGGTGGAGGACTATATGTCGCCGGATTTGGAAGAGTCCCGCGCGGATTCCCTGCAGGAACGCATGTCCGCGTATGTACAAGGGTGCGTATTTGTCGCAAATGACTGCGAGGACCGCCCTTTTTCGGCGACATATAGTCCTCCACCCCCAAAATCTGCTCCGGACTCCACCCTCGTCCAAGATCCCGCCCACTTACACGTATTTCCCAACGAATGTGGACACGATTAGCTGCAAAAAAGCTCAAATCTTGCCATTTTCATGCGCTGGTCCGAGTATGGTTTCAGCATGCCGAGAAGGTCCAAAAGGACGAAAAACTCGAGAGCGAAATTTCCGGGACACTGCCTTCAAAGGTAGCGTCTCGGCAATCTCGTCTTCCAGTTTTTCACCGAGCCTTTTAGCCATGGGGAATCCATATCTGGGCTTTTCGGTGCTGAAAAGGGCGAAAATGAGCTTTTTACGAAGCTTTCCAAATCGGCAATCAGTGGAGAATACGTGTGAGTGGGCGGGGCCCGGAACGAAGGAGGCGGGGCGCGAACGAGTTCTGGCGTATTTTGGCCGAATGCAGACCTGGCAAGCTTCGGAAAAAGCTCGTTTTATTATTTATATATTTATTTATTCTATACGCTCTTGGCGTTCCATACAATAGAATAGAAAGCAGTCATTTATACTCTAACCGCAACGATACTGCATCATTAGCTTAGGTCTAATCTTGATAAAAATGCGATGGAAGCTTGTATTTGACTGCTCTATGATTATAATTATCGGAATTAAATGATGTGATTCATAGAGATGTACCCATGCCCCCTTTTGCCAGCAAAATATTTTGATTTTAACAAACAAACAAGGTTTGATGGTGGGTAAATTATCTGACCTCATCAAATCAGTAAACCAGTGTGAGCCAGTGAGTCCAAGTGAATTTCAATAAGAGTTGTAATGATGGATAACTCATACGTGAGCGTGATCAAGTTACGTTATTGTAATCTATGGAGATGGCAATCATGCCTACTCATTTGCCAGCAGAAGATGCTCTTGCAATAATGAAGCAAAGCGGGGCTCGGTTGGTGCAGTAATACCAATAAGTTTTCGCCATTTCCATGCGCTGAAAAGCCCAGATATGGATTCAACACGGCAGGGAGGCTCCGAAAAGGAGAAAAACTGGAAAACAAGATTCTGACGAGACACTGTCTTCAAGCATGCCTTCCCCTTTTGGTATCCTTGAAGAGAGACAGAATATAGAGCCTTACAACTTTGAAAGCCAAGCACTCTCTTTGCCAAAAAGCAATCTTCGTAGCTTTTTTGCTTCCAGGTCTGGCTGTAAGCCTTTCAGCCATGTAACTACGAGAAATTTCAATGTTTCAGCTGTGGTATAGCGGATTTGTGACATTTGTCATAACATATTCACATGGTGTATTCATATCCATATTCATATTCATATTATTCATATTCTTTGTCATATTTTTTTACTCGCGTTTTCGATTGGTTCTTCATTTATGACGTCTAAAACGATAAAAACAGTCAAAATTCCTGCACCAACTTTGCTACAAGAGCTTTGGGGTGGGCATGTCACTAAGCAATTTTACAGAAAAATTATTGATCGGCATTATCGACTTATTGACTTCTTGGGTGCGCCCTGAAGTGCTAGGAGTGGCAAGTGTATGTGAGCCTGTTGATCACGAATAAAATATCACTACCTTTCCTAGAGGACCTCCCTTATCCTTTTTGTTACACACTTAAGTATGTCGGTCACATTGCCGCGTAGCGGCAATAAAACACCTGTTACATATCAAGAGCCACTTTCACATAACGGACTTTCTTGGTTGTAATGGGTCTTGCATCTTCACGGAACCACAAATTTGGCTTCTACAAATACCGGAGTCCTACCCCCTGCTTTGATTACGGCACTCTGCAGGTGAAATTGCATAACCTGAAGTTTTGAAATGCTTATTATCTTATATGGAATTAATGCCATACTCATAATGAAACATTGCGAGATATATGCACACTTCTGCAAGCCGACGATAGCATTGGCAACTTAAACAGCGAGTTAATGGAATCATAAAATAAAGGACATTCGTTGACGACAGCCCCGTTTCGTGCATTTACACCATCGCGGGCGTGCTTTTTTGAAGCCTTTCCAGCTTTACAGTACGCTAAGCGCACAGGGAATTCGCAGCTCGCAGCATCCCTGTCCTAACCTCTTCTGCATTTCATATCTCTTCTCATCTTTTTTTCCTTTTTAATCTTCAGTTCAGAGACTCGCTCATCAGATACTCATTCCCCTTTTCTTTGAAGTTGTCTCGGTCGAGCATCCTACAAGTTCTGCTTTGATGGATACTGAAAGAGCAGAAAAAAAGTTTTGGTACAGTTATTGAATTCATGCTCCTTTTTACATACCATACAAACATTTTCAGAATCGTAAACTATCGTTGCGGCATAGTTAGGGGAAAGAATGTGCTTTCTTCATGAGCGGTGATGGCTATCATGCCTTCTCCTCAAATGAGACCGTTGAAATGTTTATTTTAGCACATCTACATGTCTCCTTGATGTAGAAGTGCTGGAACAGCCACTTCAGCAGTCTCTCTTAAGAAAAAAAAGGCAAATCATTATGAAACACTGAAGAAAACATTGCGCTCCCAATCATAGCCACGATATCCGCCATTGCAACTTTGGAGAAAACTCATTATTCCTTCCGATTCTTTCCGAAGCAATGGTTTTGCGTGCATGAGAGTGTGTAACTGCCTAAAATGAAAATTAAGGAGAAAAAACGATGTGAAATACTCAAACAACAAAAAGAGGTTAAAGGACGGGCATGCTGTGGGCTGCAAATATTCCGCGAGCTGCAGCATACTGTAAAGCTGGAAAGGCTTCAAAAAGGCACGCCCGCGATGGTGTAAATGCACGAAACGGGGCTGTCGTCAACGAATATCCTTTATGCGAAAGCAATTTACTATAACATCTTCAATGAAACACATGAAAACATTTGCTTAGTAACAAGGTCTACTCCATGTAGTGAATTTCTGATAGAATGACATAGCACTATGCTTATCAAATGTTCCTTTGGTTCACTTTACCAGTCACGCACACAAAAGTATGCGCGCACTTATGGTACACATTTTCGTTGAGGAATGTACAACCTGGGAACGTAGAAATGAAGAAATTCAATTTTTGTCCATTAGGATGTTATGAGTTACATCTACGACTATTCACTACAAGACGCCCGATGAAACAAAGAAGGATCAAAGGATGGAGAAGATATCCAAATTTGGTGTAGGAAAGGTTTTCACGAGGAAAAAATTGTACAAATGATGAACTGAGCCACTTCTTTATAAATTGATTGAGAAAAGAGAGTTCTGTTTACAGGTCGATAAATGAACAGAGCTATTCCTAAGAAAGGTGAACGTCAAGCTTGCGCTGCGAATCGTCGTCGTCTATCGGCATGTCCATGGTAACGGGTGAGATAAGGTAATAGGTTGGAGACAGCATGGAAGAGGGAGGTAGACATAGACAGACAATTGATACGGCGGCGAGGATAAGTAGAAATGAGCAGGATTAACTACCACTCACGAGGGAAAGATGGTTGGTCGAAGTGACCTTTGATGGGTTGTATACGATAATGGAGGGCATAAAACGCTGATTCCAAATCTGTCTTCCTTATCTGCGGCGCGTTATTGGACGAGGAGAAAATGAGTTTTTTTTTCGGGGTAAAAACAATTACTAAAATTTTCTCAGCGCTTGAATAAGACAGCCGACGTGCGGATATATCCACCTAAGAGTATTTATTCTATGCAGTGCTGGAAAGATTACCACTGGTCCATTTGAAAGCTAGAAATAATGTCAATGCTGATTTATATTATTTGCACATTCAATTTTTTTCTCCAATAAACGCTCGTAACTTCTCGTGCAGGAACGCGCCGCAAAAAAGGAAGACAGATTTGGAATCAGCGTTCTATGCCCTCCAACATAGTATTAGGTTGGCTAATAAATAAGTTCGGTCGGTTTTTCAACTCTTACAAATGCTGTAGACAAATTTTTGTCCAATGTTTGGTATCTCTGAAAAGAGCACTTCACTGGGTATTGGAGCATATATTCTGTTTGAGTAAAACTTACCTTCCAATGAAAAAAATCCGCAAAGAAGTGAGAAAGCGCTATTTCCTCATAATGCGCAAATATGAGGAAATTTGTTTTTCTTAGTGAAACATTTTCAAAGTAGCAGATCACAGTTCTTTTTGTTGTTCACTAAATAGGGAAAACTCCTGTGTATGCAAACGCCAAACTGCTGTTCTTTACATTCATTACAGCATGAAAACGAAGCTTAGTAATTTAAAGAATTGAGCTTTTGGAAATTTCGCCATATTGAGGTATAACTTCACTGATGATAGAAAATCCTGATTATTTGATATGTGATAGAGGAAGCTTCGCTCTAATTTCCCACAAAAAATCATAGATTGAAAACAACAAGAAATTTTTTTTATAATGATTTGTATGCCAAAACGAACTTATTTCTTAGCCAACCTAATCATATTCTCTATAAAGCGCAAGCAAGGTAGACCTTTGACATTAGCGAAGTAGCGGCTAGCATTTTGACACTGTGAGCGTCAGCCCTTATTTACCGATTAGCGTGATGAAATGAGTCACCTTTGATGTCAGACCCCCCAAAGCTAACAATATCATTTCTGAGTTTCGTACGTCGTCAAATTGCGTGTACTTGTAGCGTGCAATTACAGAAAAGCGATCATACAGTCTGCTAGAATTCAAAAACTCGCAAGACAAACTCGTCTTCTTCAGAGTGTCACATTCTGAGGTTCCGTAGGTGGAGCGGATTAGAGGGAATCTTTTGGGGACTTTCCTGGAACGGGGAGGGAGGGGTCGTTTCCGAACGACTTGTGCCTGACCTTTTGCTCAACTCTGGTTATAACATTGCGACATGCCTTCTCTCGGGTCAGGGAGAAGCTCATCCGCGTGTATTAGAATGGCTTGCGCGTAACGGGTTTAGAGCAATTTTCTAGGCAATGGCAGCATGCTGTGCGCTCGGACCTGCTCTGTTCTCATGTTTGGGGTGCAAGCAACCTTCCATGTTGAAAATAAGGGATGTCGGTCTTGGCGAGCTTCTGCCTTTGAAGGCAGTGGATCAACAGAATGAGTCCCGGGGCAAAACAAGGTCACAGGGTAGGAGCACCCATAATGGAACCTATCGGCCAAATTCCGATCTTTCTCTGCCACGTCTAACCTCATTTCAACGCGAAAGCAACGCTCATCTCCTCTCCTCTCCGACCTCGCCCACCCCATGGACCAGTGTCTTCCACGGTCAGAGCGCGCATGCCGCCATGCTCTAAGCATAAGGGTCCCGCAACGACTCCGCGTCTTCGCCATGGCGGGCTTCGCGTTCACTCGTCCGCGGGGTGGGCGGGATCGGAGAGGAGATGAGCGCTGCTTTCGCTTTGAGATTTCGGGGGTTAGAAGTGGCAGAGAAAGATCGCTTTGGCCCATAGGTTCCATTATGGGGGCTCCTACCCTGCGATCTTGTTTTGCCACGGGTCTCATTCTGCCGATCCACTGCCTTTAACGGCTCAAAACCCTCTTCGACGTTTCTGCCAATCTTACGGTAACGATGAAAGTTCGGAGACTCGCTTTATACTGTGAATCCAAGTTGAAGCCAAATCTACAGAATGGTACAGTCGAGTAGATTTCCTGCTTAATATTGTCCTTGCAGATGCGACAATGCTTTTGCGTCAATATGGCCACTACGAGTTTCAGCAGAGTTTTGCAGTGTTTTCTTTGCTTACTTTTGCTTTTTAAGTGAGCCCTTGCTGATAAAGGAAAGAAAGGTAAGCTGGCAAGAAGTTTCTCTTTTCTGAGTATGTAAATTATCGCTTATTCTGAGCACTTACGTGAAAACTACGTCGTCGTCAGTTTCACGCGTATTTTCTGTTCATGCCTCTTCGCTTCATTTTCTTTGTATTTTTTGTCACATGATGCCTCTTTTTTCTTGTGAACCATTTCTTAAACGCTGATAGGCTTTTATGTGACTTATCGTCTTTATCCCGAACTACTCCAATAATTGCCTTCTTTTAGAGAGAAGTCTAAGTTGCTGCAGAGCCTATTAGCTCAAAGAAATGTTTTACAAGAAAAAAAGAGGCATCGTGTGACAAATAAACATGAAACTGACGCGACGTGGCTTTAATGTAGACATCTAAAAATTAGCGACGATATAACTATTCAAAAAACAGAAACTACTCTTCAATCCTGCCTGTGCTTTATCAGCAACGCGAGTTCCCTGAAAAAGCAAAGAATAAGCAAAGAAAACGCTAGAAAACGGCGCTCGAAACTTCGCAGTGACATTTGTTGACGCACTAGCGTTGTCGCGTCTGCAGGAACACTATATTAAGCAGTAAATCTACTCGAATGGGGGGACGGTCAGGAGGTACGATCGGCGCGAATTTTTCGCGAAGCGACGCCGCAACGTAATTCAGCCCTTACAACAGCAGCGCTCCTGGAGCGGTCTTACTTATAGCATTAAATCATGTATCTGTCCCCATCCTCACCCCCCCCTGTTTTTGCCGCTGGGAATCTCTATTGGCGGAGAGTCTTGGAGGCCCCAAGATTTGAACGCGGCGTCTGCGGAAGAGCGGCCCCCGCGCGCGGCGTACCTCCTGACGTGCAGCCACTCGAATGTACTTAAAGAACGGCGAAGAACATCGAAGCAAGCAAGTTGCAGAAATCATACAACTGGCCGACATGTGACGACCGCGAATAAAGTTGAACATCAGTACACTACATCATCACTTATTACTTTCGCACATTCAAGCAAATACGCACACTACATTAAGCCAGTAGGCTAAATTTTGTGGATGAACACTTGTCAGCACTATCCTGATCGATGTCAAAGTTTGAAACCAAATGCTTCTCTTTTTCAAAGCAACAATGATTTAACGGCAATAGAGAGGGAGCAGAGGATACAGAATGAGACTGGGTTGTGACCAGGGTTGAGCAAGGGATGTGGCACACAAGCGCTGGTTACGACCTTCCCCCCCCCCCTGATTGCTGTCTTAATAGGACCCCCCTCCTGAATTATATATCCAAGATAGCAGTACCTGAAGGCCCTGTCAAACATAATGGGCAACATATCCATAATGAGCATGTCAATTAACCCCTGTAGACAAATTTTGAGCGAATTCTGAAAATATAAGATACTAGACTACCTAAGTGAAGTGGTCATATTCCAACATGGTTAACTTTGTTTCGAAGGTGAATTACCTATCCGTTTTTGCACTCGAGACAAAGCACTCACTACTCCTTCTTTGTCCATTTCAGAAATCCCGTTTCAAAAGGCCTCCAAACTGTGGAACTAGAAGCCAACCAAAATCTCATTTCCCCATTTTTCGCTTTTGATGGCTGTGCTTTCACCAAACATTACTCGGAGCAAAGAAAACGAATCAGGCTCAAATCACTCCTGTGAAAACTAGGAGATCTATTCTATCGATCCGTATAAATATTGTTCACTAAAAATTTTTTTTTGATATAGTTAATGGGGTGTGGCACACCCCCTTAAAGGCAGTGTCCGGGCAAAAACTCGATTTTGAGATTTTGTGCTTACTTGGGCCTATTCGCTACGCTGAATCCGAAAATGCACATTGTAGAGCGCGAAAATGGCGAAAAACGGCTCTAACAAGGAGGGAAATGAGCAGGTGGGCGGGGCCTTCCCCACTGCGAAGTGACGTTCTTGGCTTCCAGAGCGACCTTCTCGCTTCCGGTTTCAAGTCAGTCATTCGCACTTGACCGGTAGCGATGTTAGGACGGCTAGCGGAATCGAGAAAATCGCCCCGGGAGCCGGGAGCGTGAAATCGCACTCGGGAAAGCCCCGCCCACCTTCTGATTTCCCTCCTGTGTTAGGGCCCTTTTTCGCCGTTTTCGCGCTTTCTAATGTGGATTTTCGGATTCAGCACGGCGAATAGGCCCGTATAAGCACAAAATCTCAAAATCGAGTTTTTGCCCGGACACTGCCTTTAAAAGCTGTGGCAGCCACTGGGAAATTGAGATTTTGGTTGGCTTCTAATTCCACAGTTTTGGAGGTCATGTAAAGCGGGATTTCTGAGGTGGACAAAGAGGGAGTAGTGCTTTGTCTTGAGTGCAAAAACGGATAGCTAATTCATCTTTAAAACAAAGTTAACCATGTTGGAATATGAACATTCCGCTTAGGTAGCCTAGTATCTTGAATCTTCAGAATTCGCTCAAGTTTTGTCTACAGGGAATTGACATGCTAATTGTGGATGATACAACCACTCTTGGCTTATCTCAGGGTTCCACAATCATACAAAGAAACTGACTACCCTACAAGTCATCTGACCCCAATTGACTACTTTGAGTTAGAAATGTATCTTAGAACTGCCATTCTCGATTGCAAACTGTTCTTTTTTTTTCAGTCACAAGTCCGATGGCGTCGATATACGAGTACTATTTGCTAAAAGGTTTAGGTGGCGCGTGTGAGTGTGCCCCCATCGCACGAGCGCGAAAATTTGATTTCCAAACAGCTAGCTTCTGATTACTAAGGTTGCGTAGGTATTTATGCCAGCTTTAAGATTAGTCAATGAGTATCAATAGCGAACTTCTTGTTAGTTTAATGGTATAAAACGATCGCAGGTCGTTCTTCGTCGTTGTAAGATTATGTGAGGTGTACAGGCGGCTCTTACGCCACTGCGTGAACTCTGCTTAGAGTACGCAGAAATTGTTGCTATTCGATCACACACTAGTTTCAAATATGAAAAATTCCCCTCTTGTATCCCGTAAAGGCAGTTTGCTCTATGATGATTACCATTTCAACAAATTTGCAGAACAAACCACACGTTTTTGTGTTTAAATTGAAATAATTTACTCGAAATTTCATTATTCAGTATCGCAAATTCAAATGCAAAAAGACTTAAACAAGACTGCTCAGGTAAGAATCGAATTCTATCGAACACCTTTGTATAGGCGGGACACCATGACTCTGATGCTGGAAAAAAACCTGCCCATTGTTAGATCCATGAGTTTGTTGCACATGACCGTTGAAGGGCTAAATAAGCTCAGAAAATGCAGCTTGCGAAGCGATGAAGGCACAATCTGACCTGTTGCTGAGAATGCTCATTCGGAAATGGTGCAATATTTGACTGAAGTAGGGTGGATGTTGTTTGATATTGCATATTTGTTGTTTGTTGAACACTCTGTTGATGGTTGTATGAAGACGGAGGAAGGGTCGGCATTGTCGCGTGCGTGATTCCCATTCCCACTACTGGGGGTGAAGTCGCCATTCCCACAGAAACAGGAGTTGGATCGAACTGAATGAGGCTCAACTTCAAAAGAAAACCTGCTTATACTAGGTTGTTCGAAAAGTTCTGCCAGTAACATTGACTATCTTGTTTTACCAACTATCAAAAAGCGAATGTTACCACCAAACAGCGAAAGATCATATGTGCCGACTATCAACAAGGCATATCACGATGTTGCTTACCGGTAGCGCGCCGAGGCGTTATAGATAGGCCTCGAGTGACATTGAAATAAGGCTGGGTTCATACTGAGCCGCACAAAGCGGCACAGTTCCAGCTTCAAGCACAATTCGAGCGCTGTGCTGGAACTGTGCCGCTTTGTGCGGCTCAGTATGAACCCAGCCTAAGTGTTTCTGCTTGAAAGGAAGGTCAGTATCAGAGCAAGTATTATTTTGGACGAGCACGGGCATGTAGCTCAGAACCTCAACCAAGCTTTTGCAAGGTCTGCGGTTCTACCATAGGTGCGATGGGGTGATCGGGGTCCCTCGAAAGTGAAGGGTGTCCCAGCTGATTTTGACCTCCAGAAGTGAAGGGTGTCTGGAAAGTGCCGGTGTCGACCGGGGGAGGGGAATCGAAAAAATTTCAAGCGTCGACCGGGGGGGGGGGGTTGAAAATGGTGAAAATTATAAAATTATCCAGTTTGAATGGTCAAATTCTCTAAATTGGACTTGTATGAAATATAATTAGTGAAATGTTTATAAGTACTTTGTTTTGAATTTATATAAATATTATTTCATTTTCATACACCATTTTTCGGTGAGAAGATGCATGTTTAGGTGAGTGGAACGTGTAATGTGTAAATGTGATTTCGACCGAAAATTACAATGAACAATGGCAGATACTCGAGGCTTGGAAGGTGCTGAATGAAGTTTTACCTGGAACTGCAAATGTGGATAATGTTAACAAGAGACTCCGCGATGATTAGGAATCATTGTTGCAAATAAATTCGTAAGTCGGTATCTATGGAGTACAATAAAAAATTTGTTGTTGTCCACTTGAAGCAAAATAAACATACACAGTGTAGCACAGTGATAGACTAGTATAACTGATGTCAGGAGAAATTCCTAGGGCAGTAAAGTTGAAGCTACGATGTTGACGATAATTGAGCAGGGTCACTTTTTCTAACTTGTGTAACTTGCAGTAGATCACTTTCCAGTATAACTCTTGTATAAATGGGCTAAAGCCAATTTTGATCTAGATTCGGATTCTGGCCTTCAAAAGCTATACAACGATATATAATTTGTGAGGTTCAATATCTTTGCCAGCTGAGGTAGTTTTCATAGCTCCAACGGTACCCCCCCCCCCTCCACGTCAGAGCCCCATATCTCCATGGTGGGGGCATTTCATGATTTGATTTTTTTTGCATCTTCAAAAGGGATGTCCATTTAGTATTACCTATACCCTCGCAAAGAGATTCCACGGGACCGACTAACTAAAATTCAAAATTTACCTGTGTTTTTCAAGCGCCTTTTATTCCCTGCTGTAACCTCTCCATTAGTACATCCGATCTCTCTGCGAGGGTATAGGTAAGACTCAGTAAACCTCCCTCTGTAAGATGCAAAAAAAGTGTAGCATGGAATGCCCCCGTCGCCGAGATATGAAGCTGCAAAGAAACCCATCAAAAATCGATTTTTCTAATATAACTTTTGTATAAGTGAATAAATCAAAACGGCGATAGTATAGGTGGATTCGCCTCGTCAAGAGCTTTCGAATGATATATAACATGTGGGGGTAATATGTATTTTGAGCCCTGCGAGGGGGGGTGAGCAGTCCCAGTTAAGCCTGCTCACCTCCCGGCGCCTCTCTAATGCATTAAGGTGGCGGGGGGTGAGCACCCTGAACTGAGGCCGCTCACCCACCCTCGCAGGGCTTAAAAAACATAGGACCCCCACATGCTATATATCAATCGAGAGCTCTTGAAGAGTAGAATCTACCTATACCCTCGCATCTCAAATTCATTTACATATACACAAGTTATTTGCGAAAAATCGATTTTTGGAGTTGTGTTTTCTGCTCTATTTGCGACTTCGTAACTCTAAGAGGAATTCTTTTTAGGATCCAGTTTTTTTTCTATATGATAGAGAAAAGGTTACTTACTAACGCCTATACTCTCGCAAGATGATATTATGCAACTGACTTAAGTTATACTAACTCAAAAACTGACTTTTCTTAAAAATGACCAACACTGTGATTTCAACTATACTGCCCTAGAAATTTCTCCTGACATCATTTATACTACTTTTATCATTATTCTGGACTCTATATGTTTATTGTGCTCTAAGCAAACACAAATGAACAACAATTTCTTTTATTGTAGCACATAAATACCGACAAAACAATTTATTTGCAAAAAAATTCATGATCAATGGCTCTTATTAACATTATTCATATCAATATTTTCCAATAAAGCTGTCCATCAGCGCCCTTCAAGCCTCTTAATGTCTGCCATTGCCCGCTGCCCATATCGTTGTAGTTTGAACCCATTTTTACAACATCCGATCCTTCTAAAAATGCATTTTTTCATTCAATATTTTTGTAATTCCGTGTGCAGTAATTCCTCACCTTGAAAAAATTTTTTCGTCCCTTTCAGGTGAAGGGGGGGGGGGGTGGTCCGACCTCCAAAGTGAAGGGGGGGGGTGAGCTTTTGCTCACCCTATCGCACCTATGGGTTCTACCAACTGAAAAAAAGTTCCTACTGCAGCCCACTACAGCCACTATTGTATTTTCGAGCTGATTAGCGCATTTAGATGACCAAACGTGCGACAAGAACAGACTTCAAGGCAACAGCTTCCCTTTTCGAATGTGGTCGTCATTAAAAAAAGTTTGCAGAACTTTTCTGAACAAGCTAACACATCCTTTCAATAACTTCCAATTTCTGATCCATATATAATGAAAGGGAAATGAAGATCAAACGAATCGAAGGTAGTGAATGTTGCTTGCAATTGCACCACGTGTGACTCGTACAGGAAAAAGTCTAGCAGCCACAATAATACTAAAGAGCTGTGGTACTAGCACAAAGACAGGAATATGGAGGCCCAAGTAACATGCGATTGTGAAGAAATAAGAATGCACAATTTCAGAACAAATAAAAGGCATAAAAGTAAGTGCAGAACTCACCCCGTATTGTTCAGTGGGAATCTGAGAGTGGACATGGTGTCTGAATGCAAGAATACAGAAATACAAGCAATATTTCGGAAGTTAACATTGGAAGGATGGTGGAAATCCTATGCGTTTTTTTCTGATACGAAAAACTTGGGCCCTATCTTGGGATATTAAGGTAAAAAGCCCCAGCAGGGAATAGTGTCACACTGGTGCTCATAAGTGAAGCAACACTTGAGAAGGGGCTTGGAATTCCAAACCAGTACGTAATTTGTCGACTCACCCAGGCTCATATCCTCCGTGAAAATGATGCGGCTGCATCCCGGTGCCGGGCGTTATGCTCTAAACAAGAGACAAATCTCTTTCCGTTATCCGGACCCGTTTCCTCAAAAAAGAAAGAAATGTTGCTCAACTTGCATCATACTGAATTGCATCTTCATAAAAAAAACAACTTCCCGCCATGTGTAAAAAAAACTGCATGTCACCTAGATGCTTGACAGGTTCCAAAAGCTTTCTCGCCTACATACGTACAGTTTTGACCAGTTTTTTAATCATCACCTCACCTTATCTCAACAACCTTGAAAATGTTGTCAGTATGATGACGTACTTTTTCGGATACATAAAGCGCTACGGTTTCATCATCCAAATAAAGTAATAAGCGATAATGTGTTATGTACACGACTTCACGCCACCATGTGAAGTGCTTCCTGGCTGAATTCGCAGGGTCCGGAATTGTTGAAATGGAAAATATTTTTGTATCATTGTATAAAGCGTCAAGATGTTCTACTGAACTTTTGGACTGTTTTGCTTCTATAAAAAGAGCCAGATAGCTCTTGCATCATCTCAAACTCTCCTATAGGCCGTCCGCGCAGGGCGCGGAGAGTGCACAAGGTGTGTATTGCGCGTCACTCGTCTTTCCTCGTACACTCTCGCCGTCTGTTTTCTCTGCGCTTCTTCCAGTCGTGAACTGCCTTCAATGTACGCAACAGCCTTGCTCTCCGCGCGCAGCGCGGACGGACTATACCTCACCGGAAATGATTACAAAACATGTTAAAGGCAGTGTCCGGGCAAAAACTCGATTTTGAGATTTTGTGCTTACCCGGGCCTATTCGCTACGCTGAATCCGAAAATACACATTAGGGGGAGCGAAAACGGCAAAATTGGCTCTAACACGGGAGGGAAATCAGAAGGTGGGTGGGGTCCTCCGCACATTGAATTCACGCTCCCAGCTTCCGGGGCAATCCTCTCGTTTCGGTTTCAAATCTATTCATTCGCACTTGGCCGGTAGCGACGTCAGGACGGCTAGCGGAATTGAGAAGACCGCTCCGGAAGCTGGGAGCGTGAATTCACACTAGAGAGGACCCGCCCACTTGCTGCTTCCCTCCAGCGCTGGAGCCGTTTTTCGCCGTTTCCGCGGTTTCCAGTATGGATTTTCGGATTCGGCATGGCGAATAGGCCCGTATAAGCAGAAAATCTTAAAATCGAGTTTTTGCCCAGACACTGCTTTTAAGCTAAACCAAAACGTGTTAAATTTTCTCCGGATGTGCAGGTAGATGACCCTCACATCTATCTATAACAAATTCCTTGCTAGACTGAAGCAAGTGTTCAACGAAACTTGAAAAGAGGTTTGAAATTAGGTAAATCTAAGGATGCACATTACTCACTGAGATCGAAGGATCAACCGGACGTCTGTGCAATCGATTCAGACGATTTGTGGCTGTAGAAGATTGCACTCCACCCAAATTTGGCGGATCGTTCCATCCCGGCGTCACTGTTGGCGGAAGACTCGACTGCATTGATTCCATTTAGAACAGTCAACCTACAATACAGCAAGGAGATTGAAATACTGAAATTTCCTAACCAGGAAATCTAAGAAGGATGAAAGAAAGGAAAGTGTAAGAAAGATGCTCCTGTTGCAGCTCGTGACAACCACAAAGGCTGAAAAGAAAAATATGGCTCTATGTGTCAAGGGGGTTTGTAATACCGAAATAACCACGAGCTACGCCAACGTGTCGTGAAGTTTAATAAAGGGCTGCTTGGCGTATGCAATCATTTTCGACAGATCAAACACCTTGATGTTTTGTATACTGCAAAAAATCTGTTTTATCTGAAACAGATTGCGTCTTTTGAGATATTATATACTTTTGAAACAGGTGATTGATATGGAAACGTTCAGATGAGTGGTGATTTCATTACCTTCAAAAGGCAAAAACATAAGGTGCTAGCAATGTTTTATCTAGCGCGATAATACTGGAACTCATTATACGTATCCATGTTAGTAGGTAGATTTACCACAGAAATATAACACTACATAGCGACCTGAGCATAATGTTAGCAATGCTTTAGAAAATCAACATCAAACCTACTCATACGCATTTAAATTTAATTAACATCATAGAGTATGTGTAACATAACCAGGCACAAAATGGACGCGGCGTGGAGCTTGATAGCATCCACGGCGCCATCTATTCCTACCGGGCTCCGCGCGCGGCAGCCGTGAGTGGCGCAGGGGCGCGTATACTCTGACATTCGTTTCGGACGAACGGCGCACAAAAATAACGATTCCTACGACCCGCGTCTGTCGAGCGTATGAGCGGCGCGACACAGTCAGATTTGGTATGAGCGGCGCGCAGTTGACAAGCAGTACCGGCCGCGTGCCTACACACGAGCCGCGTACCACTAATTTAAGCTTCTGCAGCTTTTTAGGCAGGTCTACGTGTTCACGGCCACCACAGTCAAAGAAAGACGTTTAAGTTTGTGCGCGATCATTATTTATGCATTCTGCATAATTTTCACATTTTTAAGTGCACAGAAACTATAGCGTAATTTTCACACGTTATAAGCGTAAAGGATACTTGCGTAAGGTACGACGCAGTGATTAGGCTGCCCTAAATGCTAATTGACGTGAATATGTCTATAATACTTGCACGAGAGTATTGTCGAGAGTATTGTCGACAATACTCTTTCAGAGTATTGTCGACTCCCCAACTTTGGCGAGGCGGGATCGTGATCTTCACCAAAGAAGGATGGATCAGGTATGCCTCAGCACAGGGCAACCGCAACGCAAGGCACGCTAGCGCAGCTCCGCCTCGCCAAAGTTGTGGAGCCGCTCATACCTTCATATCCAAACGAATTTGTCCTCAGTCGCTTTCTATCCATCAAACTTGTTGATGACGAATTCAAAACGCACAAGCGTACCCTGATCGGCGACGCGGCAGCGACGCGCAGTTTTCTCCGCCGAGCGCGACAGTAAGCACGAACTTAGTTTCTTCGCTTTTTGAAGTTTCAGACGGCGTCTTGTGCGCTTGTGTGTTTCGAATTCATCCCGATTTTCAAGCGTACGATTATTGGAGCATGTAGGAAGGGTAGAACTGGAACCCTTGGTTTTTTGTGACTTCCTTGCATGTACCATTTGCGTTTAGCGTACCGGTGATGTTCCACAATAAGGTGGAATATCAGTAAAGTCAAGTAGATGTATGACAATGGTGGAAAGCAAAGTAAGACCGCTTAGCGGAGTTATACGTGCTGATTGTTTACCGATGAAGTATTCTTTCCAGCCTTAATTTATGAACTCAGTTGTTAATATTACTAACAAGGAGAGGATACTTAGTCGAAAGCACCAATTTAGATGAGACATATATCTTCTTGAAGCGCTTGAAACGCTGATTCCAGATCTGTAATTTCTAGCAGCGGAGCGCTTTTGTATAAGGAGTTATGAGAAGTGTTTCTCTCTAGGGTTGAGGTGACCCCCAGCAGGTCTCCCCTTATCTATGAGCACTGTAGAGTAGTATCAACTGGTGGCAACTAGCCTAGTGATAAGTACTTTGAATGAAGATCACACTAAGGATTATAATACTCGGTATTTTGGTTTTTTAACATTTATAACTTCGATTTGCATCAATATCATCAGAAATTTCAGGCTTTAGGAGTCTAAAACCATTAAAAAGCTTAACTTTGCCAAAATTGCGATAAAGTTGCATGCGGAGGGAATTAAAACCTTGACACTCTCCTTATCAAACAAGTCACTTACCACTAGGTTAATTGCCACAGTTGGTACTCCTCTACAGTGCTCATAGATAGGGGGAGACTTGCTGGTGGGTGCCTGAACCCTAAAGGAAAACACCCCTCATAACTCCTTATATAAAACCGCTCCGCTGCTAGAAAATATAGATTTGGAATCAGCGTTTCAAGCACTTTAAGATGATCTATGCCCCATTTGGATTGGTGCTTTCGACTAAGTATCCTCTCCCTGTAAGAAGCGAAAAGTTACGGCTTCTTTGCAAACTTGTTGCCAATTCTGGTCTCACCTGCTTGTAAGGGTAGAAAGCAGAAAAGTTCAAATTGGTTTTTGGGTGTAGTTTTCACCAAAAGCTGGAATTCGTTAGAAACTAGTTGTGGTCCTACACTACTACTATATGCAATATGTACTTTGAGGCTTGAAACCATATGAGGATCTTTATGACAAAGTCAGATCAGCTACTGGGGTGTGAAGTTCCTGAATTGCCGCTCATTATTCGTGAAAAAAGAATCGCGGCGGCTGTGCTTAAAGGCAGTGTCCGGGCAAAAACTCGATTTTGAGATTTTGTGCTTATCCGGGCCTATTCGCTATGCTGAATCCGAAAATCCACATTGGAGAGCGCGAAAACGACGAAAAAGGGCTCTAACACTGGAAGGAAATCAGCAAGTGGGCGGGGTCTTCCCCACTGTGAATTCACGCTTCCAGCTTCCAGAGCAATTTTCTCGAATCCATTAGCCTCCCTGACATCACTACCGATCAAGTGCAAACGAATGAATTGAAACCGGAATCAAAAAGATCGCCCCCGAAGCTGGGAGCGTGAATTCACAGTGGGGAAGACCCCGCCCACTTGCTGATTTTCCTCCAGTGTTAGAGCCCTTTTTCGTCGTTTTCGCGCTCTTCAATGTGGATTTTCGGATTCAGCATAGCGAATAGGCCCGGGTAAGCACAAAATCTCAAAATCGAGTTTTTGCCCGGACACTGCCTTTAAACGGCCTCCGCCGAAGTTCACCGAAATTTTCGCATCAGGTCTCTATTCAGAGTGGACTAGTTCTGAAGGTTACCATTCAGCTACTTCGACATGGCACGCCTTTGTATATACATAACTGCTTTAGCTTAGGGTACAGCAGGTAACGTGGAAGATAGTTTTCAGATTCTTTTCCAGTTTTTGCTTACATAGGCTGCTCACTGTGACGATTACAAATTGTTTGATGCCAGAGGACATTGCGAGACGCGGTAGGGGTGGATTTGCAATAAAACAAATCACCATAAATAATTCGCCTTTCACTTTTCAGCAATTATGTTCTCGATTTGGTTGCTCTCCGAAGTCACCAAGGCTCAACTTTTCACCATGTGCAACTTTGACTAATTCTCATTCTTTATTAGGACCCCAAACATAATTTGCTGACCGGCGGATGAGCAAGCATTTCGCAATTCAGTGCCTTTTTTCAGTTTGTGCGGCCTTTCTGAATTAGTAAAGGTGACATTTTGTCGTGACCAAATCCGTCAGTGGGAGATTGACCCTCAGATGTAACGATGCTTCTCCACTGCGTGAAATTTCGGTGAAATCAGACTGTGGAGAAAGCCTTATGGAGATTCGCGGACGAAATCCAAAACCATCTACTACTATGTGCGCATGGCTGTACCCGAAAATTCCAGACATCAACATTACAAAGTATGATTCCACTCTGTGACAATAGTACTTGATGCTGATCGGGTGGGGGAACGAAAGCCGCCAGGTCCAGCCGCCTCCGCGGACTGCTGGTCCTGGAACGACATGCAACAACGCTGCGAAAGGACCAGCTGGCCGCGAAAGGCGGCTGGACCTGGCGGCTTTCGTTCCCCCACTCATGCTGATCGAGTTCGGAAACCCTTGTCGAAAACGAATTTGGAAAACACAAGCGTACTAAGATCGACATCTGAAACTTCAAAAAGCGTTAAAAACCAAAGTTCGTGCTCGCTGTCGCGCTCGGCGGAGAAAACTGCGGTTGCTGCCGCGTCGCCGATCAGGGTACGCTTGTGCGTTTCGAATTCGTCCTTGTTGATAAGGGTTTTTGCGCCCAAGTCATTACAGGAGAACCATGAAGTGTTGATGTAGGCTTTTGGTTTTGTGTTGCTAGTGTATCTGACTTAGGCTTCATACATACCTAACGATGGAGGTATAGCGGGTATTGGCGAATCGCTGCTGTCTCCGCTGCTTCTAGCTGCTTGAAGCTGCTGTGCATGGGTGCATTCTAGGTGCAGCAGCAAAGTATTATCAGCCCTCCCAGCTGATCAAGATTAACGGAGCAATGAATTCATGATTTTCATCGCTGGAATCCATGGATTACGAAATACCAGTGCGTCACCTCTGCTTCGCAGAGGTTCGCACTGGTGCCTTACTCATTCTCGTAAAATCGTGGCACTGGAACTCTCCGCGCTATGCCGACTACCACGAATAAAATGTAAACAACCACTCATTTAGAAAGTCTTTTCACGTGCGATCGGTGATTTCGAGTGGATGAAACTTTTCGCAGGAAGACAAACGCAAATTTGAATAGGTTTTTGGATTTGTCATGGCTTGGTAGTCGCCATAAAGGTAATGATAACCGTGAGCTACATCTCTGTGCGAAAATCTTCTCAAACGCTTGGCTAGAACCTTGGCAAGTTGACCATTTACACAACCAATTCATTTTGGCGCCGTTTTCGTTATGTAGTAAACTTTCGACCACTTTTCTGGCTAAACTCCATCGCTTGCACATTTGCTTACCAAACTCATCCACGACTCTGCAAAAAGTGGTGATACGGACCGAATTTTGCGGTACAG